GAGTTTTGTATAATTGTGTTTTTAGTGGTTTGAGGATTAGATAACATTTAAATTATTTTGTGTTGTTGTTCTAAAAGGCGTTCAAACTTATTAGAAACACCTTTTTTACCGTCACCGTGGCCAATTGTTATATTTTGTTACTAACGTTCAACACGAACCTAAAAAGTTTACAGATCTAGCCACAATGTGATTGAGATACTCTAATACGACAATTCCCCCTGAAACCAATCACGATTATTTGATCAAAACACATCGAAACGAGACGGCCAACAAAAGAAGAAGACGGACTAGAGAAAACTCGATATTCGAGGTAGGATAAGCAGAACAAAACGAGTTTGCAAAACTATATCGGCAAAATATGATTTCCAAGAACATAGAACTTTAACGAACTAAGGACGATGACAACCAATCAGAGTGCAAACCTCGTTATATTCCTCTCTTATTACAACCCAGGTATTCCTATTGCTTGGTATGCTCGGACGCCATTTCACTCGACAAGTCCCCAAATCAGAACACGGTTGAATAAGAAAAAGATTATATTTCAAATAACAAAGTTAGATGGAAGTAAGAAGCACAATAGGAAAGACGTTAGCATATTTATAGTTTTTGCATGAGATTCTAGAGTGTCCTCCAGGTATCGACTTGCGCTGACTGGTTAAGAATTAGCTAATCAACATACACCAACGCAATAGTGTATTGAGCATGCCCCGTTAACAAAAGTTAGTTTGGGACTCAACTTGAAGAAATTTCACATGCGGCTACCGCTCCCAAATGTATTTCAGGATTTGTGATAATACTACAGTTTTCTTGTGATCGTCTAAACACTTCTCAGTTCACTGCTCGCCTTACCTTTCTTTTATAATAGCAGCAACCGATTTTGTCATGATTTTTATATCGTTAGTGTTGTATCTAAAATTTGTACTTCAGTATTTTTTTGAAGAGGTTCTCAACATGTGACCAATTGATGAAAAAATCAACGTCTCAAGTTCCGAATATTCAAATTTTGATCTTGAATTGAAAATTATCACTGCAGATAGCCCCAATAACAGAATGACAATTTTTGTGAGAAACCTTCAATATATAGCCTACCAGAGGATAATTGCAAGTACTAGATCAAAACAAGATAGGGACTAGTAGTTCATGGTTAAAATGACAAAGAAATCAAGTTTAAAGCTTAAGCAATATACAGATATTTGGGTTCCGTATCAAGGATGACATTCTCAGTAATAAATTATAGTAAATTGGATATTTTAAACTTGTTTCGCTACCAATCCACTACCACTACTTTCTTCTGTTCGTCATTTTCAAACCTTATTCTATCTTAACTTGCACTTAAGGTCATCTCATCACCTAATATGTTTCTGACTTTCTATGTAATATTCTACTATTCTTAATCGACAAGCCTGCCTTACCTCCTCTTTGTCACTGAATAAATATTAGCTCCAGCAAAATGCCAAACATATGGAGACAGTGAAGGTAAGAGTATGGAGGGACAGGAAGATATATGTCCCATAGGAAATCCGGCAGTCCAACTTCTTGAAACTTGGTCTTCTGTATTTGTGAGGCTAAGCTAAGAGTGGACGATAATGAAAAGATCGTGACAACAACTTAACGTTAAAAAGCAAGCCCTCCCTGAAGCTACTAGCTCATAATGGAGACATTAAACATATTAAGTAATAAATAAGCCTTGTATTTGGATACAAACTGCGTTTTTGTTGTGTCTGTGGCACATTTAGCCTGAACAACAATTTAGTGAGGAATACCAGTGTCTTAGTGCAATAGCATTTCTCATAACAAACCCGTGCTTCTAAAGTAACTCATGAAATAATACTTAAGTCCTCCAGAAACCACTGAGTGTGCTGGAATGTATGGTTTTCCGTAATTGAAATCAAGTACAGAATTATGAAAACAGAAATTATTATCCGTCCTCAACACCATAACTGCCGCCGCTTAAGTCAAGATAAAAATTTATGTAGTGCAGTAAACTCTGTCATCTACGATATCTAATTCCTCACTTTGACACGAGATGTTTCATATTAAGGGCTATGAACTGTGCTTTCGAATCTTTCTCAAGACAATCAAACGCTTCGTTTTTATTTGTCTTGAGCGTAGAGCATAAAATATTTCCATTGTTCCTGAAAAAATTTGAAAAATCAATTTGTACACTACGTTCAAGACACTCAAGGCATTATTGAATAAACCCACACTAACTTTTGAATCTATTGAAATAACTAAGCACTCCTATATGACTTATATTTAGTCTTCTATGAATGAAAGACAGGTAGGAATCTCTCCACTCCCAAATGTTGATGATGTCCTGGATTTCACTGTCAGCTTACCTAGAGTTCCCTGCATCCATAAAAAGTTCTCTTGTTTCGGAAGTCTTAAACAGATCATTACTTCATACTCATAGACTGCATTCCTTAGGGCACAACTCTGGTTGACTTCGCAGAACAATTCAATATTTCACTCATTGATTTCCTTCTCTTCTATTATCTTGCTTTATTTGTACATGATGAGCTTCAAATTTTCCAAAATTGCTGGAATTTTCAATCTTCCTAAGGTGTGCTAACATTATCAGATGTCGATGTTTGAGAACAAATAATATTTGTATGTTACCTCATCACGAAGATATTGGACACTGGAAATCGCCAAGGGTCGACCTAGAGGTTGTGGATTTGACCAGAGACTTAGTGGTTAGTTGTTGTGCTTTAAGTACTTAAATGTTGTATTTGTACTACCTACTTTTAAATATGACGTTCGTTTGACGTTTTTCATAAGACTAGTAATTGATTTGTAAAACACCTCCATAAACTCACAAGCAAACAAATAAGGGCAAATAAAAGTGCCTTTCCCACAGGAAAGTAAAGGAGAAACGCGCCAAAAAGTTTTTTTTTTGCCTCCCTTGAGGAGATAATGCGAATTTCCCAATTTTTGCGGCCGAGTTTGAATTTTAGCTGAATTTACAACTAGTTGTTTACTTATCACTTAGATTTACCAGGATTACCAACCTTCTCATCCATTTACACAAATTCCACGGAAATGTTGACTGCAAGTGACTTGATTGAAAAAGCTATATCTGATTAAAGAGGAGGAGACTAATAACTGACATGCGGTATGTAGACCATTAATTCACGCTAGCAATTGTAGGCAAGTGCTTGTTAGCAAGCAGTCCTTTATTTTTAGACACTATAAAGATTCTCTAGACTACTTGGCACTAGCTTTCAGACTCACCATTGACACATTGATTTGTGGTTTATACTCCAGTCACTGAAAATGATAGTGCTTCAGCAATTTTGATCACTAAGTTTATGTAATTGTTAATTTATTATTAGTATGAATAGAGAAATTTGGGCGAGATTATAATGTTTAGATGGACTATGAGGGACGCCAGAGTGATAAACTCCCTAGGGCTAAAAAGAGGGTTATGGATTGGCTTGAGGTAATAGGATCGGAATCTAAATGTTGGGGTTAGAAATAAGAGTTGGGGTTTTCATCACCAATTGACATTAGATATAATGTAAAAATTCTATTTAGCCATGTGGATAAGTATATTTCTCCCCGAAATCTTTAGATTAATTGCTTCGTCTATAAATTATGGTCTCCGGAATTTGTCCTATATATTACCTCCAGCGTACTGTTTTGTATTTTGTTTGTGGATTAATCTCAAAGCTGTTTTGTGACTATTTGATTGCTGCCTATGAAGTCTTGAACTCAGTAATATCCCTTAAATAGACGGTTAATTTTTCCAAGACCGTTGTCAGCCAGATAAAGTTTGTTAAATCTGTACCCTATCCATAAATCTGAGTGCATAACGCGATGGCGTTCGAAGCGAACAGTACTGGGTTTGAGTCCCGAAGTGGACATCGACTCAGGGATACGGGTACACCCAGCTTACGAGTCCTAAACAAAATGAAACCCATATCCTAGGTCCCACTGCTAGCTGCCGTCCATCTCTGCTTCAAGTGCTTGTAACTTAGTAGCCATATTGAGGCGATTCTCACAGGATCCACATATACCTAAAGAAAACGGACTAATTGCAATCCTACGCATCAATGGGAAACTCCAAGTAACCAATACAAATGGATCATTCGACCATAATAGGACCCATAGTTACCGTATACAGACTTTGATAATGTAGTGGGGATTACAAAGGATAGTTTTCCTCAAGTTTCTCAAGTTCACACCAAATAAGCCACGTAATGAGAACAAAATAGGTAGGTGCTGCTCATGCTCTGGCGCTCAGTGACTAACCAATCTCAGCACTGAGCCCAGGATAATCATATGTGGGGCACGCTTTTCAAATCAATGTATAGATAACAAACTTGTAGTTTTTCACCATAGTTTTGAGGATAGGTCTCTAAACTACAACAATCCACTACTAGTAGTTCGTTCTGTGGAGATAAATCCGCCCACATTAAGTTTCAAACATCGATGGTAGTGACTTTACATGAAAAAAACTATTCTTATGAGATACTCATTAAAAAAAACATGTGATTAATTGTTTAGCAAACTAAAACCCCTTGGACAAAATAAAATCTTCAATTTAGTGAAGTTGCTTAGTAGTTCAAATATTAAAATTAATGTAAGATGTAGTTTAGTCATTCATGCTCTTCCCTCATTATCTGAGAACTGCGAACACCTGAAGGCCCTATCCTGAGCAGGGTATTTTCTCAGAGAATCACTTTCTACTCTTCTTTGCAAGGTCTACTGCACAAAGCAGTGGAACAACACCAAGACACAATCATTGCGTAGTCGGTGATTGAAATAGGTTTGTACACCGTTTGTTCCCCGTCAAAGTCATTCTTGTATGTAAATTCGCACAACTCTCATTTCAAAGTATTAAACTGACTCAGACGTAAAACCAAGCATTCCAATAATTTTAGTACAAATGACTTTCTTCATTTTATTGTAGTTACATAAATAGCAACGTGGCTTACTACTTCTATGGAATATTTGTAACAGACTTTCGTTGGATAAATTCCAAAGTTCAAGCAAATATGGAACAGTCGTCTGGGACACCGAACCTCATCGTTAACGAAACTTTAAACACTGATATGATAAACAACGAACAAAAACATGGACATAACAGTATCCAACCAAAGGATATTCATATATCAAGTACTTCAGTATCTGTACATCATCGTCGCAAGCGGTCGCATATATCATCATTATCGGGGCCTGTGCATGCAGTTAATCATATAGAAGCACCCACATATGGAGAATATGAATTTTCATCGTTAAAAGATCATGTTGACATTGTAGAGTCGGCAGACGAGGAAAATGTACTTCTTAGTTGCAATCCTGAACATTTTCTGCGTAGTGATTCAACTTTTGGTGAAAAATCCGTCGATTCGCTAAAGCTCGCTAAACTCGATCCGGAATTCCGTGACTTAATCTCACGTTATGTCTGCTCGGAATATGTAGTTCATTGTCTTGAACTGGCAGGCTTTTGTACACCGTATGTTGTCGCCCGACTAGATGATCATCAGTTACAGAGGCTTGAGACGTTTGTTGGACATGCTTGTTCGATTATGAAGTCAATTACCTTACGAGAGCATTTCGTAGGGCCCATTTTTGCAAATGATCCATTAAAGTTTAAACTACCCTCAGGTGCTGCTTGTGGAATTCTTTTGGCTGCACACGAAATTCGTCGGAGGTATCGTCGATCTCAGTTATCGATAGAGGGTCAAAATCCTATTGATGAGGATTTCATAATTGTCCCAGACTCATGTGATCAGAGCTTCAGTGATATAGGTTGTCAAACAGATTCTTCATTGTCTCACTTAATTTCTTCAACATCTTCACCGCCTGTTACCTTGGCTGACCCATTACCAAGCAACTTTGTGGAAAATTCGGATTCAACATCTCCAACATCGGTGGTAAATTTGACGTCGAAAACCTACTTTTCAGATTCCCCGAATCCCTCACGCAGGTCAGAACCAAGTGTTCCACCTTCTGACGGACCAGCAGTGATCATGGCTGCTGCTCTCCAAGCTGCCGCAGCTGCTGTGAGTGGAAATGGATACAATAATATCACTTTGTTTTCTAATTCCTTACCCGATGAAAACAGTTTAACGACACTCTCTGGTTTAAGTAGCTGTAACTCTGGTGATACAAATCCTGTGCTTCATCCAGGAACTAGCATCTCTCCTGTTTCATCACGTAATACGATTCCAGTGTCAAATATGCCTTCTGTCGCCATCACATCAAATGCTATACCATCTCATTCTAACTTTTTGATCAGTTCCTCTCCAGTCGGATACGGAAATGGATTATTTGAGAATGAAGGAGTCAATTTGGAGCGCTTGAAACAGCATTCTTCAGCTAGTGCAATCAGGTTAGCATCACGACAGTTTGTTAACGCTTACCTTATGCGTGGTCGAGATTTTGATATGGAAATGGAATTGTCAGTGACTCCTGAGGGTTTTAAACGTGTTACTGGTATATTTTATTGTCATCTCTGCAGAGAGAAACGAGAGCGCACATCAGCCGTACGCTTTTCCATAGCCCGCAACAGGTATCCTGTTTTGAGTAATGTATTATCGCACTTAAAAACACATTTTCATTATCGGGGTCAAACGTTATCAGGATTGCAGGCTGCGGTCACCCAACAAACTCAGAACTTACTCAAGTCGGCTAATGCGCTTAATGAGTCTTTTATTGGAGAAGGTTTAGGTCAGTCTCCAGGACCGTTCAACAGTTCGAGCTGTCGCACTGATTTTACGGTACAACATACAAGTAATTCATCTAATACGTCGCTTCTGCCAACATCTATTTCTCTTAACCAATTTCAGTTACAAATGAAACCTGAACCAGGAAACTGCACGTATACTATTGAAGCTGAGGGCATTGAAGACTCTAGTTCTGTGCATCAGATTTTAGACAGTTTATCTCCGCCAAATAGATTAAACTCACCGGATACCAAAGGTTCGTCTCCCACTCGAGGTTTGGAACTCAAAGTCATTATCCCATCGCGACCAAATACAGATAGCCAATGTAATACGCTAACTTCGTGATGTACATCCTATAACTTTTCCCCACAAATATATGATTCTCATGTTATGAATACTGACGTGCCTGTTCCAAATATTTTTTTCAAGCATTAACACTTCGAACATGTATACAATGTTTATTTAGCATTTCTATCCATTCCATAGAGAAAATTGTGTGTAAATACCAATAGTTTATTATCATCGATATTCAGATAAGTGTGTATATTTGTATATAAATCCTTTTATTAAGTACTCAATCTTCCTTTATTTTTACAGTTTAGAAGTATTTTTCATCTTAGAATAAAATCAATAGACAAACAGTTGGAAATCACAAAACAGAAGAAATCCAGGACTCATCAGAAGTGCACAGTGATGACTTTATACGGGATCGAAATCCTGAGGTCCCGGGCATTACAACACAATGTTCAATTATTGAGGATTAGTAAATCTCTTCTCATTTAGTCATAGTCATTTACTGGTGAGTTTGTAACAGTGCTATATTCAGTGTTAAGATGTTTGATGATAAAACCTCTCATAGGTATTTTAGGGACGTTCTCAGTGGGGTGGTATAATATTCGACCAGTTGTGGAAGGAACAATATTAGGGTCTGAGGACCCTAAGTTCTTGCTCTAAGTATTACAAAACCAATTAGGAGTATCGACGTTGTTATTTGTTTAAAAATTAGTGTAGTTTAACGCTTCTGATTAGGGCCTAAATAAAGCCGAATATGGAAAAAGACTACACTTGTACATCTTTCCTGTAAAGTGTTTGTATGAACGTCGGTGCTACGTGGTGCTTTGAATGAGATACTGTGCAGCAAAAAGGCGGCACTGCGTCCGACTATTGTCTCACTCACCAACTTTGTTTCAAATACTAGGAAAGCTAATCGGAACACCTTTTAAGTTATTTCGACATAAAGTTGGACATAAAAATGCAATTTAAAAATCCTGATTGCAGATAATCAATATATTGTTTAAATTTTACTAAAATTGTAAAAATGCGTAACAATGTGTCCTCACTAAGTGTCGATTTCCCATCCACCTGTTCGTTCCACACACTTTCAGCTATTTATTAAATTTGAAATCCATTTTATAAGTTGCTCCAGACGTAATCGTAATTAGGAAGTGGATTACACTTAGTTACGATGATGATTTCGATTATTTTTCAAAATTACATACTTTAAAGATGCAGATTATTGTTTGTGATAATTACTATTCACTGGTTACTACAACTGAAGGGCGTTGATTACTGAAATCGATAAGCGATTTTCCACGAAACAACTTTTCACCCCACAGACAACTTCTAGTCGATTTTTATCGCACTTGATGATCATGATATTTTAGGGATTTTTTAGAGATGGTGTATTACCCTAAAATGTTTTCATTAGCATAGCTATTGTTTGGTAGGTTTAACTAATAAAAAATCAATTCACTTTATGAAGCTGGTCAAGCTCACTGATGTGACCCTGTTAAACTTAAAAGTATAAGGCCACAGTACATTCGTCTAAAATAATCTCTAATCATAAGACGATGGTTTAGCTCACTATGTTATTCTTATGAGAGCCGCCATATTTCATGCAAATGAAATATACAAGGCAACAGAGTTTTCGTAAAAAAAATTGTCTTATGAAATATGGAGTTCTGTGATATTTTGCAAGACATGAATACTTATATAAATGCGCAAACTCTACGAACAAAGTTAAGTTCGATTCCACATAACGTTTGTTGGGATATCTAACGCCGCCGAACAACTCACAAGCACAACGTGAATCATAATACTAATTAATTAGTAGATGTATACACTTAGTATGCTCTAATTTATAAATCGCTAACTAGTAGATATGATACCTAGCCTACCTTTGTATGTTTGTATAATGTAACTGAGTTTATTATATTTGAGCAATGAAATAAAGCATTTTGCAGCTAACCAGTCAACTTTTTATACATTTCCATTTGTGAACTTAAAAAGTGTGAAAAACAACGAATTAAACTATGTAATAATAATGTGGTGAAATGTATGGAGTGTAATGAATTAAATTTAATGGATTAGTACCTGGGTTTAATGAGAAATGGAGACAGTTAAAAAAGACTATGCGACCGATTAAGGACAATTAAAAAAAAACATGTGCGTCTAGGACCAGTTTCGCCTCATTCATTACACCGAGTTTTTAAGCCGTTGAGGAAAAAATAGTAACTTGCGTAATTTACCTCCACTTATTTACTGTTATCCTTGCTATCCAGTTTGATATGCAAAAATAAGTTAAAACACCAAGAATAGCATGAGGCTTTCCAAAAAATGTATAAGGAACAATGACTGGACAGGTCGACAAATTTGGTTGCTCATTGCAATTATCAGCTCTTAATTAATTACTAAAGACTTACTCCTCGTGAAGGAGCGTAGATCACCCGCCAGGATTCTCGATTGAACTCTGTCTTGGGTAGTCCTTTCAAGTTGTCATTCATTCTTTTGATGTCTGCTTACAGTTCCCGGCGCAGTATGTTCCTTGGTCTGCCTCTTTTCCTCTTCCCTTCAGGATTCCAAGTTAACGCCCGCCTCGTGATACAGTTTGATGATTTTCGTAATGTATGTCCTATCCACCTCCAGCGCCATTTTCAAAATTGATCTTCATCTCAAATCTGGTTTGTCCTCTCCTACAGTAGACTGTTGCTGACAGTATCCAGCTAACGGACATTGAATATCTGGCGTAGACAATTGTTTATAAATACCTATATATTTTGATGAAAGTTGTAGTAGTTCTCTAAGTTTCGGCCCGTACAATAGGACTATCTTGACCTTTGTATTGAAAACTTTTGCTTTCATGTTGGCTGATGAACTAATTACTTCTATGAATTTGGTGTTTAACTTGTTCCGCTAATGAGATATAGCAACTTTGACCGATGCACTTATGTGCTTGCTCCTACGTTGTAGCCGACTGAGTTATTTTTAGTTCCATACGTTCTCCAGTTGTAAGAATTCTGCCCATGTTTTGCCAATCAGTGCCTTCTCATCTACATCAGATCCTCATTGTTCATCAATTATGCTTCTCAGTCGCGTGAAAGCATCCACCTATTCCAGTGCTTCTCCATCACGTGTGATTTGGTTGTATTTCAGAATCTTGCTTTCACACATTTGAATGTTGAGATCTACTACTGTAGACGTTGCTGTAACATTGGCCGTCTTCATCTACATCTGTTGCCGTGTGACATAGAAGACCTGAATCATCTGCGAAGTCCAAATCGTCTATTTGCATCTAAACTGTCCATTGTTTTACGTGCTTCTCCTGAGATATGTAGGTCCTCATAATCCAGTCAGTCAACCACAAGAAGAAAGAAAGCGCGAGAATAAGCAGCCTTGTCTGACACCGCTCCTCACTTGGAATGCATCTACCAGTTGTCCTTCATGCACGACTTTGCAATACAGCCCATCGTATGAATTCCATATGATGTTGACGATCTTCTAAGCTACTCTTCCTCTAGTGTCAAGGGTGGTTTCAAAAGGTTCCCCCATCGCCGTCAAGAAATCTGATCTATAGTGGCGAATCCCGTTCTATAGATTGCTCAAAAATGATCCATATTGTTGCGATTTGGTCTGTGAATGATTGGTCCTTACAAAATTCGGCCTGTTGATCTCGATGTTGGATGTCTACTGAGTTTTTCATTCAACTGAACAGAACCCTGTTGAAACTTTTACTGGTACTGATAGTAGTGTAATGCGTTTGTAGTTCGCACACTTGTTCAGATCTCCTTTCTCTGGTATCTTGGTCAGGTATCCTTCTTTCTTATCAAATACTAGTAACCTACGAATACCCTCTAATTTAATGAGATTGTAAATCTTCATCGAGTGAGATGGGTCACGTGTTACGTATTCCTGAATATCGATTACCACGACGCACAATGCTGACCAATGTTGCAGACGCAGATGACAGATATGTTTAGTGGTTTTCGTGATTCTTTGGACAGGATCAATGGGATTCTTTGTGTAAGGTATTTTCTTGATGACTAGTGTACAACAGCTCTCGAGGTGCTCACTGCATGCCCAACCTTCCACTTTTACCTGGCAAGAACTCTATAGAGCTACAGGCGGAGTTTGTTGATTAATACTAATAAAATAAACAAATAATTCCACTCTGTGAAAGTAAATGTCACTACAAGGTTTATCCGAGACTAATATCCAAGAAGCGTATTTCAACTCCCGTTCATTTTATTTATTTAGACATAAAAAATTGATACAAGGAAGACCAATATATATGCACTACACTCCGTCATTCGATTTATGTGAGGGTCGGGATACTCTCCAGGCACCTAAACCGAAGCATATGGTTTTCTCAAGAGACCTCTCGCCGAATTTTTGACCTAGAGGTCTAATCCAAAAAACAGCGTAGCAATGTTAGCAGATGCCGTCCCATGGTATCTGGTGATCAAGAATGGATTCATACGCCAGTTGTTCCCTCATGATCTTGGAGTCCATGTCCACCTTTGGTTTGGAATCAGGGATTTCTAACTCCCCTATGTGGGTCCTCCGTACCCACCAACCCGGTTTAAGCGCCGGACGTTCGCTTTCCGTCCCCTCAAATTTCGTAAACACTCGACTACGAGAAGGTAGTGAGTAGGAATTCTCTGGCAGTGGCTATATACCCATAGTCATGTGAGAGCAATTAGAGAGGGATAGCAAGCTCTCTCCACCCTCGGCCGTACTAGGGCATTTGGAGGTCTTAAACTGCTATCACGCTTATTTTCGAATGGATCTGCAAAGCACATCAAGAGAGGATTGTCCCACTTTCATCGCTGAGGTATGAGTATGGATTTAAGTATTCTCCTAAGAAAGTTCATTAAAATGTTCATCTCAAGAAGACCAACTCGCAGTTAATTCACTAAAAGGGTATTCAGGCGAATACAGATTGACAAAGAGCCTTCACTATAACAACAAACAGTATTGAATCAGTGCTTTTTCATATAATAACATTCACCTAAATGAGCTAAGTTTCGTGTGTTCTGTACATTATGTGTAGGCTGATTACACTACTCCAACCAATATAAGCGTCCTTGTTTTGATTTTTGCCTGTTCATAGATTTAATCGATAAATCTTGTGGAAATGTGACATGGGAAGAAAAACCATTGCTATTTTAATCACAAGATATTCAAGGGAATCGTTATCTGCGTCAATTTTATCGAGAACACCAAATTTCCATTGATTCGCCAGCTTTGCTATGATGACTTCTCTTTAGTAAAAGCAGCCAGCGTACAGCAGTATACCCGTATAAGGTACATTAATTAGATGATTGTGGACGTAGTTATTCATCCCAAGGCCAATTTACTTCCAGTCCTTCGACTTTAGTGTCCGGTAGCCAAAGTTTGAAAGCAATTGAGAACTTTCTCTTCATAAGGTGTGAATTCAATGAACTAAGCTGCCCTTAGATGCTTGATAGCCGCGAAGATCATTATGAATCAGTATACCCGAGATTCGATCGGTTGGCTGATTTTTGTATACACAGACAATTTAGGTTGACTTGAGTTAAAGTTGTGAAATCTATTTGCGATGAGTTTTAACAAATTCCACTGACATTTTCCAGTACCTGATTTACAGATATCCAAATATCAAAGATATACTGACATATTGGTTGAGGTTGACAGGTCAAGTATAAGTGTAAAAAGTTGGAATTAATGGTGAATATGTTTGAGAATGGTCAAATAGTAGAACAAATAATAATAGTGACTAATTCGCAATGAGCGTGACATGTAGATATACAGTAATCATAGTACATTGGTGTTATAGTGGTAACATGAAACTATGCACTGCTTAGAAATTCGACAACAGAAATGTAAGTTTTCTCATTTTTCGTTATATTTTGACGAGATGCGACGTTTTGATTAGCCATAATTCAAATAAACTATATATATACTACTTAGATGTATATATGCAGGATGGTTCGAACTAATCTAATGATTTAATCTTATTGAAAACTATATTATTTACTCATCTTAAGATCGAGGTTTAGCAAACAAATATTCTTTGTTCTCGATGTTGGATTTATTTGAAAAGCGAATGCTGTGTCTTATCTCCCGAAAGCGTTTTCGAAAAAAAGCAAGACGACTTTCCCCTCAAGAAACAACTGGAAAAAATCTACAATTTCGCTTAATAAACTATTTCATGGATATTCAAATGGAAGTTAGATAACAACAAAAATAAGGAACCAGGACTCACAAATACAGGTTATCACAACAAATGAATGGAGGTCAACACGTAAATCATTATGTACATAAACAAAGAAAATAGGGAGCACTGGTTTAGGAGAGTAGCAAATAAATTATGCTACTTAAAAAAGTAAACTATTGAGGTCACCTAATCGAGGGATCAATTAAACAAAATAACAAACTAGAACGAACAAAAAGAAGCAAAGATCCGGATAATTGGGTACAAATTCTTTTGTAGCGTTATATATAACATACTTTCCTAGCTGACATAATTTTAGTTTAAAATGCAAAAATCAAATTCCATCTGAATTATTTCATTTAGATGATAACAAGAATTAGAAGTACTCGGTGAGTGGCGTTCGATTTCCTTTATATTTACATCGACAATTTTTAAGCAACTAGTCCAAGAAGATAATACAGGCAACAGTATGTCGTCTAATGCGTCAGCATACATTTCTTCACAATTCTCACAGCTGGCATTTTCAAGATCGTTTGATGAATCCAGTTGATTGTGCAGTGTGTATACCTCCTGACATGAAGCACCCATCCGATAGCCAACCTGATCTGGTGGTTGCAACAGAATGCGTAGTGTGATTTGTGTACGATTATTGTTTAGGAGATGACCAAGATAAGGTCGAAGCGCCTATAAGATAGATCAAGACGTAAGCATTTCACGACAAGCTATGAAAAACCCAAGTAAATTATTGTTGTAGTGATACAAGCCTTAATTTATAACTGAAGAAATGAAACAGATACACTACGTATGAATTGCACAATATCATCTTTATCTGCAAAGTACCTCCTAACTGAAAATGAGAGTATGTTGAATTAAGAGCCTGATAACTAGGTTGAAATTCATCAGTTTTGCCTATGCGTAATAAGACTTAATGAGTTTCAAACATATGAATAAAGTAATTTACCCAAATAGTTATTTTATCAATACATATGAAACGCTGTTAAATACCATGAACAGAATAATCATAGCATTCTGAGTACAACCTCGTGGTCATTCGAAATACAGGTGAAGTACGGTGCATAATTCCAGTTATTGTAAAATAAAATCACATTAAGAAATATAAGTTATCCACACATAACACAAGCAAGTGAGGAACAGTAGAGAATGTAAAACAAATCGAATTTAAACTCTACAAAAAACTTAATACATGAAATTTTATACGTACGGATAAATCCTGAGAAATAATGCAATGACATAAAATAGATCGAACACATTGATATGATGGGATAAAAAGATGACGTTATTCAAGTTAATATTTTTGTATCAGTTCATGGATCTTGGCCAAGTTCACAGGTGTGCATTTCGTTCAATATGAGAACTTTATTCCGTCTATCAGTTAAGCTGTAATATACTCAGCGACTTTTACGGTGATCATAAATATCTCACCTCTATTTTTCTAATAAGTGGGTGTAAAATCTAATAAGTGATTGCACTTTGGTCTACAAGATGTTGTTACAGTTCTATAACGACAAGTGTTTCTATCGAACCGGGAAATCTTATTTGCGCCAGTTTCTAACGGCAATTCCATTCGTTTTCACCTCAAGGTATAAGTGTTACGATCAAATAAATGCAGCGGTTCCTAATAGTCAGGTTCTTTCATCTACTTATAAATAACAAAAAGTGCAAGTTCAGTGAACTACTTATCTTGAGAAAATGCATTGATAACAGAGGGTGCAAACTACAAATCATAGCTGTGGATACCAATTATCAACAGATCATATGTGCATGATATCACATGGGAATCGTATGTCTCAAACGTATAATAGACCGTTCGGTTCAGCACCATTTCGTTCACATGATTGTTTCTTTGAAAAACTTTACTTTGCAAATGATCGTTGTTCTAGTTCACCCTGTACTGACTCAGATATGACGAATGGTTACTATTGGCTTAATTCCAGATCTTTAACAAGTAGTAATTATGGAAGTAGCAATCCATATGGATTCGTATTTTTCCATCCAACTCACCAATGTTTATTAGGCCTACATCTACCAAATCCACCGTTCTTAATCGCTCTACTAGTGCATATACAAGAAGCACCTTGGGCATATCATCTACCGAGTAGAATTTTATTGAATCTAGGCAAAATGTCACATTATTATCCAACTACTTTGTTATCCGACCGTGATCGCAAGATTTTATTTGATTGTAAACTAGACGGAGAAAGCTTCTTACAATTATTCACTAATATAAAACCATTTATCTATCCAGATTTCATGACATTTACACCTAAACAAAGATGTATTCCATTACCAGAATTATTATTTCATATAAATGGATTCTATGCACATTTGAATGTAGTTAAAAGTGAATCGGATACGAATACTACTACACATAATGATGGTGTCGAAGATGTAATTGTGGAGCTTCTAGTAAGTCTGAAAAGATTAGTTATCTATGTGATTTCTTAGCTGATCACTGTATTCGTTTTGCTTTTCCTCATTTGTTTGGAATAGTATCTTCAAATATCTGTTTTTAATTGGCACATTTTGCGTGTCTTGACAAGTCAAGTCAACTCTGATTCTTTCTTCATCCTACGATCCGATCCAGCCACATTACACACTTCCTATCTCTGGATTAGCTGTGCGCGAAGTAATAAGATAGAATTTTGTAATCTTAAAGGCTGAATGGGTATTGAAACAGGTCTTGTGTATATATATGATAACAGATCAACGCACATAAAGGTATGCAAGTAATGACCATGCCCCGATGAATAATCCACTCACAAAACGCTCTCCGACATTTTGATTTCTCATTCACCATTTGTCTTTGAGGAATCATGTAACCTGTCTGGTCTAGTAATAGCATATGGTTCCATTAGGATTGTCCGACATACCGTTCTTCCATATACCTTACCCAGTAAAAAAGTATGACCTACTTTATGGCAGTGAAACATGGCCAATAAGAGTAGAGGATATTCGTAGGTTACTAGTATTTGATCATAGGTGTCTTCGAAACATTGCTCGTATATCCTGGGACCATCGAGCAAGTAATGCAGTTGTTAGGAAACGGGTACTAGGTAAGGATGGCAAATCAATTGATGGAGTTTTACTACTTCATCAGTTGAGATGTCTGGGACACGTGTTACGTATGCCCAACCACCGACTGCCCCGGTGTGCAATGTTTTATGGTGTAGGAGTAGGTTGGAAGAAAGATAGGGGTGGCCAGATCAAAACATGGCACAAATCCATGAAGTCACTGATAAGTGGACTGAGCCGTGTTGGTAGGTGTAAACTACCTGGTTGGGGGCCGCGAGACGATAGCGATCGATGGCTCAAAATCGTTTGCAATGGCGCAGGTGCATCCACTCTTTGTGTTCTCCCAAATTCTAATCTTTTGAATTCTTCATGTCTCTACCACTACGGGATTTGAATCGACAACTGCATCTCTGTGCTACTGTGTTATGGCAACTCGAACTGATGTACATACATACGCAGTTCTACGTTGTTACTGACTGACTGACTGACTTAAAAAAGTGTGATTCGAACAATTTTTGCATCTATCACAGCACTAACTTCACTGTCTGAAATACATTTTCAGTAGAGTCATTTCTATCTATTAATGTTAAGTTTTTTAAATTAAAATATCCACCTCAAAGGATACAACCTCTCTCACAATCCTCAGTCTGAGTTAAATTTTTATCCGCTACCCCATATTGATCTTTTAACCGATTGATCAATGGAATTTACTGGGTATTGTTATTATGAATCCCAAACATTCGATATGATCATCATAATACCTTTGTAGTCATTACTACACAGTTTTTTTCATTCTTCTTCCTTTTGTCAAATTCAGATACCCATGTCTTCATGTGCTTCTGTGGCTAGGTTTCTAGACTCGAGTGCTATGGAGTCAATGACATTTGCCCTATCAGCCGATTGTAACCCAATGTCCGATTCCCATTTAGTTTGTTCGCAGTCAAAAATACTACATAAAGGGTCTAAAGACAACCACAATAAGTTAATTTGTCAGAATGTGACCAGTTCACAAATGACCTCAAATCTAAATTATTTTACTGACCAAAATTGTTTCCAGACCTTCGAGACTGAGGCTATTTCAATTGAAAATACAAGACTCAAGGTATTCATTATATTTATTGGTTATGCAAAGCTTACAACTGACTACCCATTTCACTCAACTCATCAGTTTTAGTTGTTAAGATTATAGTTCAAGGTCCTGTCGCTTTCTAAAACGCGATTTGCTTATGCTTAGTTACTCTTTAACACATATATACAACTATTTATTTATTTAAACACATAAACATTGGTACATAGGCGCACCAAAATATATGTGCGCCACACAATAAGAAAATGACCTGTGACCAACGAGTCCTCAGTGACCACCCAAAGAGAATGTTACCCACGTAAGTTTCTCACTGATGAAACTTTCTACACTAACGCCAGGTAAATCACTGTTAATGGGAGTCCAGCAGGTGAGTTTTACTTCCACTCTGGCACTAAATGAGACACCAACGCCAGGAAAACTGGACATAAATGCCCTAGAGCCTCTGGATAAGCGCAGGTAAAAAAAGCTCTCCAAATTGACAGACGGGGAAATAATTTGTAGCGCATCGCTGGTGTCTTATACAGGTCTTGGAGATGCAGGAGATATCGGTCTCAATACTTCTAAAAGACATCTAAATCTGCATTTGTGTGAACGTTGAAGCAGTTCGGTTCAAATGGTATACATGGTTTCAGGAAACCTGTATTGGGTATCGCTCTCGGTGGGAATCAATCGTGAATCCAATCGTTCCGCAACTTGAAACTATTTAGACTAGTTAGAACATTCACCGAAGACGAGTTTCTGAGTGTGTTGAAGTGTAAAAGTATGCACGAAATGAATAGAAAGATAAAGTCGCTAAAATAAATCAGCTTGTAATTAGGTATTCGTAAATATCGTTTATATGGATAGCAAGGGGAACCGGAAACACTTCCTTCGTTGGTAAAAATCGTTATATTTGTGTGTGGGCCGGGATACTCTCCAGGCACCCAAACCGAAGCATATGGTTTTCTCAAGAGACCTCTCGCCGAATTTTTGACCTAGAGGTCTAATCCAAAAAACAGCGTAGCAATGTTAGCAGATGCCGTCCCATGGTATCTGGTGATCAAGAATGGATTCATACGCCAGTTGTTCCCTCATGATCTTGGAGTCCATGTCCACCTTTGGTTTGGAATCAGGGATTTCTAACTCCCCTATGTGGGTCCTCCGTACCCACCAACCCGGTTTAAGCGCCGGACGTTCGCTTTCCGTCCCCTCAAATTTCGTAAACACTCGACTACGAGAAGGTAGTGAGTAGGAATTCTCTGGCAGTGGTTATATACCCGTAGTCACGTGAGAGCAATTAGAGAGGGACAGCAGGCTCTTTCCACTCTCGTGCGTACCAAGCCATTTATTGAATACGTTAGACCTCATTCGTAATCCTAACACAACCCTTGCTTAAATACGGTTATCTAACGTTGGTGTTTTTCAATGGTAGCTGATATAACTGACGAAAACCCAACAGTGTTTTAACCTTTCTTCAAAGGTGCAACTCAATTCCTAGTATGTTAACGTAACATTTTTCCGTAACGATAATACATAATTTACTCTCACTAAGTCGCTGCACTACTGCCAGCGATCACCCATTAATTGAACGGGATAGTACTTGGTGCAGCATATATACTGCACATTGTTTAATGCATGTGCTACAAATCCACGAGCATATGTCCTGTCTGATAAGTAGCATTCTGTCATTTTATCTGATATGAGATCATAATGAAAACCCTAGCTATGATATTTGTTATCCTAACTTTTAATCATGATTCATCATACTAATTCATAACCCGAATGACTCACTGAGGTGTCTCAGGGTTACTTTTGTATCTCTCAAACGTCGTTCATAAATTAGTCTCGGTCTGAAATAACATAGCACGAGGATAACTGGGGTCAATCCACTGCATTCATCTGCTCCACAACTGACGCTTCTGTATGTGTTAAACAAGAGTGAACTTCAAGAGGCTTTTAAACGATTGAGTTTCACCAGTATATTTCTAAAATTAGAATGCAGATCATATTGCATTGCAGCTGGCTTAGATAAAAACGCACACTAAAACAAGTTTTAGTGAATGGATAGAAAAGCAGTTTACTTTAAAAAGTTTTGAAATTTTTTTGGATTAAACTGACCTTGATTACACATTCAGCTACTTCATTAGAAAAATGCCCAAAAGTTATTGTTTTACTTGAGGATGTACTAATAAATTCCAATTGATCAACGTTTAACACATGAAATCGAATCCATGCCAATCGTAAAGACGGTGGATCACTTGATTTGATAGTCGATAAAGAACTTAATTGACTTTCACTGCTTGGAATAATACTTTCATTCAGATGTATCCAATGCCATAGTTGGTAATGAACTGGCACTAAGAATGTAGTAATAGGTTCCAAGTCCCATATGCCGGCAGAATTAGTCTAAAGAATAAATTCAGCACTTACCTAAATGAGGGAAATATTACTTAAAATATATTAAAATGCTATTCAGCTTAATAATCTGCTCATCGAAAAAAAATTTAAACATGACCCGATGACAATAAGGTTATCAAATAGTATATTTGACACAGTTACTTTTCAAGTTTTGACAAAATGTAAAGATAAAATAAATTAAGTTTGAATCATTTTATTTAGGTGGATAAATATCACGTTCTAGGCGATAGATCAAAAGTCAGCTTCTAACCTTAGATACGATTAAACTAAATAAATTGGTCAGTCCGGATGGGCATCTCCTAACAGAACTAATTGTTATGGTTTTTTGTACAAGCAGTAGCTCGGAAAACAGCATTCTAAAGATCTTTTAGTGAGTTTGTGTAATTCTTTGGTGAACCCTTCAAACGATTCGTCTGTCTAGTTCTACAAATCCCTTTATCGTAATTTAACCATAATAATAGGCTGTCTTTGGTTCAAACTCTTTCCAAACACCCTGCTAGCAATGACAGAACCTAAAACAATAAATGTTTTATTCAATATAACTTGAATAGCATTAAAGTGATTTACATTTTTCTCCCAGTACAACAAAAGGGTTTACTTAAAAAAATAGTGGACAAGACGAAACTAAAATATCAAGCGATTTCTTCAGAAACAAGGATTAATCTATCACTAAACTGTAAAGTTTGAAAACTTACGCAACATGGAGTGACGGTAGTACTAAATGAAGCACTTGATAAAAATGAATCAAACACTTTAAACCACTTTACGTGAACTGATGAGGCAACATTTCCGTTAAATAGATCGCGATTCGAAATATCGTCTCCAAAATCACCATTGATATGTTCTACTTTTGTAGATGGTTGGATGTTACGACTTGATCGTATAGGAATTGATAAATCGTAACCATTTTTCAAACTATTGACAAGCTGATGAAATTTTAAACTTGTCATAGAAATATATAAGCCATCCTCGACGATTATTGCACTGCAAAATGAGGCGTGACCAGAAAAAGCTACAAAGCTCAAACCAGTTACCTGTAAACAAAAAAATTGAACATTTATTTATAATTTTTGCACTACAACGACATAACATGTAATACAAAATCGGGAACACAGGCAAATTCTACGCAACCGTTCTTGGATAACCTGTATTACGAATGAGGTCTAACGTATTCAATAAATGGCTTGGTACGCACGAGAGTGGAAAGAGCCTGCTATCCCTCTCTAATTGCTCTCACGTGACTACGGGTATATAACCACTGCCAGAGAATTCCTACTCACTACCTTCTCGTAGTCGAATGTTTACGAAATTTAAGGGGACGGAAAGCGAACGTCCGGCGCTTAAACCGGGTTGGTGGGTACGGAGGACCCACCTAGGGGAGTTAGAAATCCCTGATTCCAAACCAAAGGTGGACATGGACTCCAAGATCATGAGGGAACAACTGGCGTATGAATCCATTCTTGATCACCAGATACCATGGGACGGCATCTGCTAACATTGCTACGCTGTTTTTTGGATTAGACCTCTAGGTCAAAAATTCGGCGAGAGGTCTCTTGAGAAAACCATATGCTTCGGTTTGGGTGCCTGGAGAGTATCCCGGCCCACACACAAATATAACGATTTTTACCAACGAAGGAAGTGTTTCCGGTTCCCCTTGCTATCCATATAAACGATATTTACGAATACCTAATTACAAGCTGATTTATTTTAGCGACTTTATCTTTCTATTCATTTCGTGCATACTTTTACACTTCAACACACTCAGAAACTCGTCTTCGGTGAATGTTCTAACTAGTCTAAATAGTTTCAAGTTGCGGAACGATTGGATTCACGATTGATTCCCACCGAGAGCGATACCCAATACAGGTTTCCTGAAACCATGTATACCATTTGAACCGAACTGCTTCAACGTTCACACAAATGCAGATTTAGATGTCTTTTAGAAGTATTGAGACCGATATCTCCTGCATCTCCAAGACCTGTATAAGACACCAGCGATGCGCTACAAATTATTTCCCCGTCTGTCAATTTGGAGAGCTTTTTTTACCTGCGCTTATCCAGAGGCTCTAGGGCATTTATGTCCAGTTTTCCTGGCGTTGGTGTCTCATTTAGTGCCAGAGTGGAAGTAAAACTCACCTGCTGGACTCCCATTAACAGTGATTTACCTGGCGTTAGTGTAGAAAGTTTCATCAGTGAGAAACTTACGTGGGTAACATTCTCTTTGGGTGGTCACTGAGGACTCGTTGGTCACAGGTCATTTTCTTATTGTGTGGCGCACATATATTTTGGTGCGCCTATGTACCAATGTTTATGTGTTTAAATAAATAAATAGTTGTATATATGTGTTAAAGAGTAACTAAGCATAAGCAAATCGCGTTTTAGAAAGCGACAGGACCTTGAACTATAATCTTAACAACTAAAACTGATGAGTTGAGTGAAATGGGTAGTCAGTTGTAAGCTTTGCATAACCAATAAATATAATGAATACCTTGAGTCTTGTATTTTCAATTGAAATAGCCTCAGTCTCGAAGGTCTGGAAACAATTTTGGTCAGTAAAATAATTTAGATTTGAGGTCATTTGTGAACTGGTCACATTCTGACAAATTAACTTATTGTGGTTGTCTTTAGACCCTTTATGTAGTATTTTTGACTGCGAACAAACTAAATGGGAATCGGACATTGGGTTACAATCGGCTGATAGGGCAAATGTCATTGACTCCATAGCACTCGAGTCTAGAAACCTAGCCACAGAAGCACATGAAGACATGGGTATCTGAATTTGACAAAAGGAAGAAGAATGAAAAAAACTGTGTAGTAATGACTACAAAGGTATTATGATGATCATATCGAATGTTTGGGATTCATAATAACAATACCCAGTAAATTCCATTGATCAATCGGTTAAAAGATCAATATGGGGTAGCGGATAAAAATTTAACTCAGACTGAGGATTGTGAGAGAGGTTGTATCCTTTGAGGTGGATATTTTAATTTAAAAAACTTAACATTAATAGATAGAAATGACTCTACTGAAAATGTATTTCAGACAGTGAAGTTAGTGCTGTGATAGATGCAAAAATTGTTCGAATCACACTTTTTTAAGTCAGTCAGTCAGTCAGTAACAACGTAGAACTGCGTATGTATGTACATCAGTTCGAGTTGCCATAACACAGTAGCACAGAGATGCAGTTGTCGATTCAAATCCCGTAGTGGTAGAGACATGAAGAATTCAAAAGATTAGAATTTGGGAGAACACAAAGAGTGGATGCACCTGCGCCATTGCAAACGATTTTGAGCCATCGATCGCTATCGTCTCGCGGCCCCCAACCAGGTAGTTTACACCTACCAACACGGCTCAGTCCACTTATCAGTGACTTCATGGATTTGTGCCATGTTTTGATCTGGCCACCCCTATCTTTCTTCCAACCTACTCCTACACCATAAAACATTGCACGCCGGGGCAGTCGGTGGTTGGGCATACGTAACACGTGTCCCAGACATCTCAACTGATGAAGTAGTAAAACTCCATCAATTGATTTGCCATCCTTACCTAGTACCCGTTTCCTAACAACTGCATTACTTGCTCGATGGTCCCAGGATATACGAGCAATGTTTCGAAGACACCTATGATCAAATACTAGTAACCTACGAATATCCTCTACTCTTATTGGCCATGTTTCACTGCCATAAAGTAGGTCATACTTTTTTACTGGGTAAGGTATATGGAAGAACGGTATGTCGGACAATCCTAATGGAACCATATGCTATTACTAGACCAGACAGGTTACATGATTCCTCAAAGACAAATGGTGAATGAGAAATCAAAATGTCGGAGAGCGTTTTGTGAGTGGATTATTCATCGGGGCATGGTCATTACTTGCATACCTTTATGTGCGTTGATCTGTTATCATATATATACACAAGACCTGTTTCAATACCCATTCAGCCTTTAAGATTACAAAATTCTATCTTATTACTTCGCGCACAGCTAATCCAGAGATAGGAAGTGTGTAATGTGGCTGGATCGGATCGTAGGATGAAGAAAGAATCAGAGTTGACTTGACTTGTCAAGACACGCAAAATGTGCCAATTAAAAACAGATATTTGAAGATACTATTCCAAACAAATGAGGAAAAGCAAAACGAATACAGTGATCAGCTAAGAAATCACATAGATAACTAATCTTTTCAGACTTACTAGAAGCTCCACAATTACATCTTCGACACCATCATTATGTGTAGTAGTATTCGTATCCGATTCACTTTTAACTACATTCAAATGTGCATAGAATCCATTTATATGAAATAATAATTCTGGTAATGGAATACATCTTTGTTTAGGTGTAAATGTCATGAAATCTGGATAGATAAATGGTTTTATATTAGTGAATAATTGTAAGAAGCTTTCTCCGTCTAGTTTACAATCAAATAAAATCTTGCGATCACGGTCGGATAACAAAGTAGTTGGATAATAATGTGACATTTTGCCTAGATTCAATAAAATTCTACTCGGTAGATGATATGCCCAAGGTGCTTCTTGTATATGCACTAGTAGAGCGATTAAGAACGGTGGATTTGGTAGATGTAGGCCTAATAAACATTGGTGAGTTGGATGGAAAAATACGAATCCATATGGATTGCTACTTCCATAATTACTACTTGTTAAAGATCTGGAATTAAGCCAATAGTAACCATTCGTCATATCTGAGTCAGTACAGGGTGAACTAGAACAACGATCATTTGCAAAGTAAAGTTTTTCAAAGAAACAATCATGTGAACGAAATGGTGCTGAACCGAACGGTCTATTATACGTTTGGGAGTTGAATGATTCTAAGTGAAGAAAGAGAAATGAAGAGGAGGAGTAACGAAACTGGAAAATATTGTAGATGAAAAATTTATGTAAAAGGAAATGTTAAAAAATGTGATATGGTATAAAACATTCTCTGAATAAGCATATATCCAGTTATAACTGTTTGATGTCCTTTGATATACAATGAGATCATATCGTATAATACCAAAGAGTATTGAAGACTTACTAAATTCAGTGAGGTTTTCTTTCTGCCTTGAATAAGAACGTGCAATCAGGGTTACGTATATAATACGAAAAATAGTTGTTGCATGTACGGAGTGTGGCAAGGTAATTCAGTAGACAGTTATTTCAGGAAGGGAGACTAAATTCCTCATTCCGAGCTAATGCATAGGTTTATAAGGACTATCAATGCTGGGGTAATGAACGATTACTAGTAATACGTTACAAGAGAAACATAGAAACTTTTATTTCGCTAATGTCGATTTGTGGAATAAGAACTACGTAAAAAATTACGGGCACTCATCATCAGTATACAGAATACCAGCAATACAAACGGTGGAAAACCATTTGATACTTACCAAAATTAACATCACTTTTAACTTGTTTCTCAGCATAATTCACTAAAGCTTGATATATAAGCCAGTATTGATAAAATATCTCCATTGGTGGTAGTTTTTCATCAAAACGTCTACGTAACAGAATTACAATTTCTTCTTGACCAAACTGATAAAAGCCACTCGATGAGAAACACCAAGCTGATTGCTTTAAACAGCAATTTAATTCAGTTGAATGAACACGAATGTGGAGATTCCGAGTGAGAGCTATTGTTATGCCAGGAGACACATTATCTGACTAAGGAAAATTTTAGGCAAAATTCTTGATAACGATTACAATTAAACTGAATTATATAGATGAAAGGATGAATGTGAAAATAATTTGTTGTAATAGTAACAATATTTACATGACCAGTAAAACTGCTACTCATTGGTAATTAAATTTATGTAAATAAGAAAGTTAATGAAAATTCACACAATCAACTAAACAGTGATATCTCCTGTACATACCAAAGTAATTCATGATTATCACATGGTTAAATATCAGGAGGTCAAAGAAAATTAATGGTAAGTCCCACACATACCTATTGTGAACTGATCAAAAATAAAACCTTCGATGAATCTATTCCCTTTATTACGACCCAGCTATTCCTATTACTTAGTATTTTTGGACACCGATTCACTCGACAAGTCCTCAAATCAGAATACGATTGAACAAGAAAGAAATTATATTCCAGATGACAAGGATAGATGGAAGTGTAAGGATTACAATAAGAAAAAAGCCAGTATATTTATAGCTTTTACGTGAGAAGATTCTAGTCTTCTCCAAGTATCCGTTAACGCGGATTGTTTAAGAAATAGCCAATCAGAGTGTCCTTCACGGAACGTGCTTTAATCCAATCTAAATTCCACTAACATAGTCTATCACTGAGACACAACCACGAATCATTATAAATCCCAAACTAGCGATTGACTCTCTAGGTTATAAAACAGAAACTGCACCTTTAAAACCATCCTTACACATTTTTATTTTTTTATTATTAATGGCTTTATTCAATATTATATTTTGGTACAATATAGAATTCTCAGCACAGGGTATTTCAACAAGTTACTTACTGAACAACGAACAAAAATACAGTAGCGAATATATATAAAGAAATATATAAAATAAAAATTTTTTTAAAAAAAAGAAAAAAAAGAAAAGAAAAAAAAACCAAAAGAAACTACAAACTTTTAAAATAAAAGACATGTTAAGAATGTAAGTTATTGACTAAGTTAATTCTAACAACCTGTTCGTCACAGAGTATATTTGCTAGGTAAGGTATAATAGAACTTTTATACTTTTCCTTGCGTGCAAGGATTTTTATGTAATTACGTCTCGTTCTACCAGAAGATATACAAGGAGAAAGATAAGAGTGAAGGGGATGGCTAGTATCTGATAAAATAACACCTGCCAGGAGTTTGCATGATTTTAAATGTCTGTCCACAACCATATTAATTATGACCTCGAAAGATTCACCGCACGTCTTACTAACTGCCTTTAGCACTCTTCGCAATACAGCAAAGTCTTTTCTCAAAAGCCCTGGAAAGAATAATGGAGAACAGTAAAGAATAATAGGTAATATGCAAGAATTGACAAATTGTAAGAGAAAATGACGAGTAATTCCAAGAGCATGCAATCTCTTTATGTAGTAGGTCAGACGGAAAACCTTCTTTGATAACGATAAAACGTGGGAAGACCAAGACAGATCAGAGGAAAAGGTGACACCAAGATAATTGACCTTCGACACCGCGTTTATCAAAGAGTCTCCGATGGTACAAGCACTATGGGATCTCAAAATAGTGTTTATATTCCGTTCATGTCTCATACTAAAGTTAACAGCTTGACATTTAGATGGATTAAGTATGAGACCATTACCAACAGACCAACAATCAATACGAGACAAAAACTCATTCATTTCTATGGGATGTAAAGAGGAAGATATAGGCATACATACAGTGAGATCATCCGCGTACTTCACAAAAGTGTTTTCTGTGGAAGATGGCAGGTCATGCAGAAAAAAAGAGAATAGAAGAGGTGAAAGAACAGCTCCTTGTGGTACACCTTCCTGAGACAGTAGAGAATCTGAACTCTTTCCTCCAAACACAGTGTACTGTTCCCTTCCAGAGAGGTAGGAACACAGCCAGTTGGTTATCCAGCTGTCAGTGTTGACGCTGATTAACTTGTTAAGTAAACGTTGTCTTGGTATAGAGTCAAAAGCTGAAGTATAGTCTAGAAAAGCACATCGAACATAGTTCTTACCCTTTTCTAAGTTGAACACTATGTTGTGATGCAGAACTGCAACAGCATCTAAAGTGCTTCTTTTGCGCCTGTATGCAAACTGGTATGGGTCAGTATGCTCTTTTATCGCAGGCTGAAGTGGAAGTTTTAATAATTTTTCCATGGTTTTGAGGAAAGGTGAAGTTATTGCAATAGGTCTAAATTTTACATTCTTATCACCAGATGCTTTCTTGGGTACAGGAATTATCTTCATCTTTCTCCACATTTTTGGTATGAGATTAGATGAGAAAGATCTGTTAAAAATAGTTGTGAACGGATGACACAGAACGTCAGCACATTTTTTAAAAAGGAGGTTTGGGATACCATCAGGACCCAAACATCGAGATGAATTAAGCGACTGGAGACATCCTCGTACATCAGTTTCAGTGAACGTATGAACACAGCTATTTTTTAAACCCGTGGATAGAGGGAGCATCACATCAGATGACTGACGTACAAAAGACTTATTTAAGTCACAAACATTCAGCTGGTTGTCGCTTCTAAACTTTCTGTCACCTGTAAGTTCTTTAAAGAATTTCCACATACTTGTAGAGTTTTTGCAAGATAAGAGTTTTTGAGTAAACATGCAGTTGAGACGTCTAATCTCTAGGTTTATCAGACCATTTAGCTTACGAACTTCATTTGAGTTCTTCTCTTTGTACATTCTTTCTTTAATCCTCCGTAGTCGTTTTAGTTGTGAAGATGTAAGCCGATCAAAACTTACAAAAATGGTTTCAGTGGGACAACAAATATCAAAACAGAATTTAAGGTAACAAGTGATAACATCAGTAGTGTTTTCGAGTGAGTCATCTGTAAATAATTCCCAGTTAGTCGTATGAAACATGTTTTTTAGATTTCGGATATTTTCTTCTGAGTAATTCCTATATTTGACTTTCTTGGTTTGATGTAAGAGTGTACTCTTCCCATGCTTTCCATATACTTTAGGTAGAACACGAATTAAACAGTGATCTGAGCTAGACAATGGAGCACGTTTACGAGTCGCATATATATACCCACATCATTAATGAAAACGAAGTCTAAATGAGCATCCAAACGAGTAGGAAAATCTACTACGTTTTGGTGACCTAGTGACGTAAAGAAGCTACAGTCACATGAATTGAAATCACCGCATACAACTGAAAGTGAATCACTGAAGGCAGTAACAGCGAACTCAGTGAATTCATCAGCAAAAACAGATAGTGCAGATGATGTGCAGTCTGGAGTCACGTAGATATTGGTAACATAAACATATTTGTATTTATTCAGATGTTTTGGACGACATCTTAGAGTTAGACAGTCGATAAAGTCATTTGAAAACTTAAAACACACAGACGAAGATTGACACCAGTTTATGTTTACAAACGTAGCTACACCGCCACCACACCTTTTTTTATTGTTCGATCGATCCTGACGATAAATTTTGAAATCATGTAGTGATACAAGGCAGTCATCGTGTAAATCATTCAACCAAGATTCTTGAATTGTGATGACACCACAATTACGATACGTATTTTGACTAAGCAGAAATTGCAGATAGTCCACTTTGTTGATTAATGATCGGCAGTTAGAATTAAGAAGCTCGGGAATCGACATACGATTAATGTTCATTCTCTTTAACGCATATTGCCAACCACCACGATGCCTTTTATAGTACTTTTTCTTAACTTGTGCAGCGAAAGGTCGTAGGCTTTTCATAAAAGCGCCTGAATAGGTTATGCGATTAATGGACATAATTTTAAATTAAAACAAATAAAAACTGATAACTTGTTGAAATAATCAGATGACAGAAACAGGTAGCCCAGATATTCAAGCAGGCCGCCAAAAAAAATACATTCAAAGTCAGTTAAATTTTTTCCTCTTATTTAGGTATAGGTCACAATCTCTGCTAATAAATTCTTAACAACTTCATTCACACATGTGAAATGAAAGGACAAAAGTGCGTTTGGTGATAAACCTTATTTTTTTTAAAAATAATGTAGATTAACTCCAGGATAATAATGCCATGTCAAATTGCACTTGTTATTTGCAAAAAATGAGAAAGGAAGACCTCACACCGCTAGTAATTTCTGAACTAAACTTTAAAGTTAAAGGCTAGAGAAATAATATGGTAAAGCATAATTGCAATATTTACATAAATTATGACGATTTTAATCAAAACTTTCAAAAGAAGTCGAAGGAAACATAACTTAAAACAAATTTTAATAACAGATTTTATTTACTAGTAGTTTAATTGAAGTACAGTAAACCGAAGAGCTATTAACGTGAACCGTACCGGTTGAAAATTCGATTTCACTGGAATCTAGTAATTCAGATGAAATGACTTGTTGTGCTGTTACGAAGTATGAAAACCTGGACTAAAGCAATTTTGTGCGAAATCCTAAATTACGACTATTTTTATCTATGTAGAAAAAATAAATAGATAATCACAGAAATCACGTCATATTCGTTATCGGATATTTTCACAGCCATGATGCCCTGTTTAGTTGAGACATTACCAACTGCAGTACTCAAATCGCCTATTTGTGCTTTTGATATTGTACACGAGAGTAACTAGCGGGAACATGAATATATATATATATATATATATATATATATATATATATATATATGACATATAGTATGAATCTGTTTGTATATCTATCCCATATCAGCAGTTCATTTTAACTAGAAAACAGCTTTCCGTCAGTCAGCTACAACGTAGGACCAGGCACATGTGTGCATCGGTCCAGGTTGCCATACCGCATCAGCACAACAAGATGAACACCGGATTCATAGCAGTGGTTAGGTCAAAGGTAGTAATATGTAAGAGAAAGATTGCACATAGAGATATAGTACAAGAAGAAAGAATTGGTTCGTAGAAAGAAAGATATGAAGTGATTTTAATCTCTTAGTTTGAGGGAAGACAGGGAGTGTATACACCGACGCCATTGTGATCGATTCTGAGCCATGTCACCAAGAGTCTCCAACCATTGGTTACGATAGTCACGCGGACCCCAACCAAGTAGTCTGCATCTACCAGCATGGCTCAGACTAGAAGTTAGTGACTTCAAGCACTGATGCCACGTTTTGGTTTGGCCGCCCCTAACTTTCTTTCAACCATCTCCAATACCGGATAGCATTGCACGTCGTGGTAATCGGTGTTCGGGCATACGTAACACGTGGCCCAACCATCTTAATCGATGAAGATTCATAACCTCATCAACTGATTTACCATCATTCCCTAATACCCTGCGTCTAATCCCACTATTACTTACCCGGTGATCCCAGCAGACGCCAGCAATATTTCTAAGGCATCTGTGGTCAAATACTAATAGCTTACGAGTGTCTTCTACTCTTAATGGCCATGTTTCGCTGCCGTAAATTAAAACAGAACGGACTGCCGCGCAGTATACTCGTCTTTTAATTGATAGGCGGATATCTCGCCTTCGCCATAGGTGACGCAAGCTGGCAAAAGCCAATCGACCTTTTCGAATCCGTGCTGAGATTTCGTCCGATACCAACCCATTAGGGCTGATCAGACTTCCAAGATAAGTGAAGTTTTCAACGCGTTCGACTACTTCACTCCCTATCCTTAGTTCAGGTGTTAACGCAGACCAGTCCTGAAGCAACAACTTGCATTTAGAGGGAGAGAAGCGCATTCCAAACATCCTGCCATTGTTGCTCAGTGCTACCAGAAGACTCTGCATTTTGTCAGCGTCCTCACCAAACAGGACTATGTCATCTGCTTATTCTAAGTCGATAAGTGGACCTCTTGGTAGGAGATCAATACCCGAGAACTCAGTCGACGAGAAAGTTATTTCCATCAGTAGATCTATGATGAAGTTAAACAAAAATGAGGAAAGTGGAGAGCCTTGACGGACACCACTTGAGGTTGCAAAAGTAGATGACATTTCGCCATAAGCTCTGACTCGACTAGTAGTGTTCGAGTAAAGAGCTTTCACAAGGTTTATGTACTTCTGTGGTACGCCTTTCAATGACAGACACTGCCACAGAATCTCGCGGTCTACCGAGTCAAATGCTGCTTTTAAGTCGAGAAAGACCACCATTGTCGGACGTCGATAAGTATGACTGTGTTCTAGAACTTGACGAATGGTGAATATGTGGTCGATGCAGCCACGACCAGGTCTGAAGCCAGCTTGAGTCTCTCGTGTTTGCAGTTCACGAGTCTTAGTTAGGCGTCTGATAATTATCGAGGCTAGTATTTTAGATATTATATTAGTTAAACTAATCTCTCTGTGGTTGTCACAGGATGATTTTGACCCTTTTTTATATATTGGGACGATAAGTGATTGTGACCAGTTAGATGGGGTAACGTCTAACCCCCAGATCCTAGCTAAAATATTAGTCAACCTAATCGCTAAAATTGGACCACCATCCTTAAAGACCTCTGGAGCCAATCCATCTGGACTAGCTGCCCTTCCTCGTTTCAGATTAACTATAGCCTTTTGAACTTCAGCAAGAGTTGGGGGACCTACTTCAATGTTCCATTCACACTGTCTGGGAATGGAGGGTAGTTGTAGAGTAGCTGAAGGCCAGCTGAACTGTTCTCTGAAATGTTCCGCCCATCGTTCTAAACGCCTGGACTGGGAGCAGATGAGTGTATCGTCTTTTTCCGATATAATCTCCCTTACACTTGACTTATTAATTCCAGTTTCTTTTATTAGTCTGTAAAGCTGTCTTGTGTTCCCTATAGTCGCCGCCTTTTCCATCTCTTTTGCTTTCGTTGCCCACCACTGCTCACGGTCGTTTCTTTGACTTTTTATTAACCTAGATCTGATTTGTTGTCGCTCTTCATCATGTTCAGAACCTGATGGGACGAGTTTGCGAGAATCCATCAGTGTGATCGACTTTGAAGAAATCCACTGGTTCTTTGAAACTCTGTGGTTTAAGTCGCTAATAGATGTCACTGCTGTTTCCACAGCTGCCTGTATTTCATTCCAAGCAACGTCTGGGTCAGCCTCGTCTTCAGAACTACCTAAGTGTGACCTCAGTTGTTCCTGGAACCTACTTTTGGTTTCCTCGCTACTCAGTTCGGTTCTAATGGGTCTTTTTACTGTGGCTTTTTTGCGTCCAGTGAGGCGCAAGCAGATGCGTGCCCGTATTAGGGCGTGGTCGGAGTCCAAGCAGGTACTCCAGAATGAGCGACAATCTTATCTGTTCCCTGTGCCGGAATGCTAAAATATCCACCTAAATGCCTTTCTGTTTGGTTTAAGCTACCTATCTGAGCATTGAAGTCACCCCCTACGAGTACTATTTCTGAGCGTTTAGCTTTCTGAAGAAGTTCGGACAGCTTTCTGTAAAATTCACCTTTCACATCATCTAAGCTGCAGTCATTGGGAGCGTAGGCAGAAACAACAAAAAGGCGACGACGTGTGTCCCTATCCTTCCGAGTTTTTACGTAGCCTTTTAGCCGAACAGCACATAGATGACTGTTGACGGGGATCCATTCTAGCAGTGCTTGTTCCGCCCTCATGCTTAGTGCTATGCCTACACCTGCCAGTCCACGAGAACTGGCCATCGGGTCACCAGATACACGTAGGGTGTATCTCGTTGGCTCTCCGTTTTGCCGAGGTGAGGTCAAGTGAATGACCACACTGGAATCCTGTATGCGTGTTTCGGAGACACAGCATACATCAATGGAAAGAGACTCTAGGGTTTTAGCCAAGGAAGCCTGCTGACCGATTTGACATAGAGTGAGTACGTTGAAAGCTCCGATGTGTAGTTTAGAGCGAGGTTTCAGTAGACCTGGGACAGAGTTTTGAGCACTAGAATCGTTGGCTATGGTGACACTTGAGGAGGAAGCCGAAGGAGAAAGTCGATGTAGGAGGAATAATAGGAATTGAAAAGGAAGGTTGATTATGAATACAGTGGTCTTTAAGTGCTGTTAGAGGTATGTGGGCGGTTATCACTTCCCGGTTGCCCACACCGTGGAAGGGTTCTTCTGGAGGTACCTGAAAAGGAAATTGGATTAGAGGCGGTCTCAGTGACCTGAGAGCGTGACCGCAGTGCCCAAGGGACAACTGCTTGAGGCCGGTCGCGCACGGCCTTTTCGTGGGAGGTTTTTGACGTGTTAGCTCTGTTCTTCAAAGAGCCTTACAACCGGAGACGGAAATCCGTGAGGTAAGGTGAGGTGCGCATTTTTAGGGTCGACCTTTTCTAACCCCACCCCTCCTTGTGGGAAGGCAGCATCGCTATCATGCTGGTTGTCTGAAGGAAACACCTTACTGCTGTCACACCTCTGTACAGTCAGCAGTACGACTTCGCCTTCGGACCTTGGGTTTGTTGCTTTTAGTCTTACCGCTCTTCAACCGACCTGTCAGTCATTGTAGAACCTTGAGGAACGATTGTTCCAGCCAGTATAACTCGGTTGCTTCATCACGATAGGCAAGCCCGACCATCACGTCAAGGTAGCAACAACGATCGGGAAAACAGCTTTGGTCGTCTTGAAATTCTATGTTGGTGACCTAGGGGACACAGCAAACAACGAAGAATCCATTTAAAGAATTATAGTTTGTTACCAACTAGTCAGGCGGTGATTGAAAAGAACCTCTTAGGTAACTAGAACAGTAGGTGTAAATTAGCAAGTTTCTATCCACAATGCTATTAAATCTAGTTAACTACTAGAAGCCTTCATATAAAAAGATCTTTAAATTCTTTGCCTTTTTAAACGGTGATAACTTTTAGCCATAGATTTAGCTCTGCAGTGAGAAAAATATGAGACAGAACTTTTTTCTCGATTAAAATCAACCAGAAAAAGGGATTTAAATAAACGTTTCAATACCTTAGATAAGCATTCAGATTGTGTTACTGGTATCATGGACACTGAGTCTAAAGAACCCTTCTCTGAATCAATAGTTAGTTCGTGTACATTCTTATTATACAAATCACCAGACGTTTTGTTTGTATTCTCAAGAAGTGAAATTAAAAGTCCAACGGGAGGATTGAACTGAAGAACCAATTCTAAAATATAAAAACAGATTGAAACTCCGCAAAAATGTGAGTATAATTACATAATAAAGATAGAAAAGAAAAAATTGGCTTTTATTTCTTTTAATCAAAGTCGAACTTAGTAAAACATTATACTATGTATAGTATATAATCTATGAGCCATACCCTTTCTTGTGAACCACGTTGGTATATTTAAATCAATAACCGCGGAGTTATGTTTAATCATATTTAAATCATCCTTAGATCCTAGCAACAAAACTTTGGAGGCTAGGCAGAAACTAGGTTTATCCGGCAAGCTTACTGTTACGGCTATTAACACATTACAATCGCCTGTTAACCAAATGTAGGCAAAACATCAAAAAGTAATTTAGCTGGTGTTATGACCTTTTGATGTCTGACTTTTCTATCACACGACTTATCTACCAATCCGAATACGACTTATACGAATCTTCACACTATTCCAACCAATGACGTTCAACCGGTGTGGGCAGTTTAGCGTCCTTATTGGTCCTATGTCCTCCGAGCCCTTCCACTTGAGTCCAGAATACAATACCAGCTTCCGAATACAAATCGAATCGTTTATTTCATGCATACTTGGTTTATATATCAATCACACAGACCGCAACGTACCATAAAATAGGAAATAATATTTGTACACAAATAAGCCCAAAAAGTGGCTGTGAATGTGGGAGGCAGTAGTTAATAAACTGAACATAACTTAAGAACCGTAAATCGTACAATAATAAGTTATAGGTCAAAATAAAGCTTATCATAAAAGGAATATAAATATACATAGTGTAATTGTTGAGTAGTTATACGATAAGAATATTTATAGAATATTAGTCCATGAATAGTCCTCGGAAGTTACCTGTAATTTAATCTTCACCGGATATAACAGCTGGAAACTCGAATACAGGACGGTTTCAACCAATGGAATTTAAAACAATCTTTCTATGCAATCATTTAGAAGTCATATCATGTTGACCTCCAGTCTGATGGATATTTAATCCTAAGCACTACCGCTATTTGCGATCGTCCTAAGGCTTGTCTGAAATTCGCCATGTTTAAAAAGTCACTTCCACTAGAGGCAACGTTTGGGGGAAATTATATATATATATATATATATATATATATATATATAACAACTTGTTTGTGTTATTTTTATACTGCCATATAACTGTTCCTACACATTCTCCCCTCTATAAATTGCCTTTATTTAGTCATAAACCTGGTACTCAGACTTGTCCCATAAGTGTCCTGGTTATGCCCGTATTGAAATTCATTAATTATGGCGCATTTTAGTCTTGTATTTTATGTATCAAACCACATGAGTTCTTAAATTTGAATAATACAAGTTACTTTGCTGGTTTTCTAAGTGTTAGTTTTGAAAACTGGAGAAGTTTGCACAGCCCATCGAACGTTAGTAAATACAGTACTTGAGTTTGTCGAATTATTATCATTTATGTAAGCAAAATCACGAAACGTTTAATTATAAAAAACACTAACATACACAATACAACACCGACCTACGTAAACAACCCATTACGAAAGCGGGAGAAAACCATAACGACAATTAACAGTGAAGTTACTTCTCGTTTCGGTGAACGACTAAATATCTATAAGATCTAGAAAGCTATTAGTCGTTTAATAGTTCATTCCAACAGATGAAAAGACAACAGTACCTGTAAATCACTTGGGTCGGATGGTGAAATGGTTTGAATTAACAGCATAGGAAAGTAGTTGATCATCTGAATAGAGTCCTATAGAAAGATCTTTAGTACTTAGTAATATAATAATCAAAAGTATGAAGAAACTTTGACTCATACCATAAAATGCATAGAAGGTACCATGGGTCAGATCATACGAACAGTACAAAAACTACCGTGACCTAGTTTTTTTCATATGGATACTCTGCTACATGATTTGAGTATTATACTCTCCCTATTGCGAAGTGGATGGTAGTATAAACTTATGCTTGTATTTACTATTTACAAGAAAAAATTCTTCATAGATTTAAAGATAAAATTCCTAAAAATGACAGATGTAATTATGAATATTCCGTGAAACTATATACATTTGGAGTAATATGAAAATTGTTTTGTGAGTTTTTAATGAGTAATAGACATACACTACTCAATAAAATTATTGTTATAAACAAACATGACAATTGCGAGTTAATGAATTGCAATTTGCTACGTATTATATACATGACAGCATATCATATATACGATCACGTTAAGTAGAATTCATATCTATAGAAGTAAATATTTTTCTAAAAGACAACAAGTATTTTTACCTGGATGGGAACTGATTACCAGAGGAGGCCAAATATCTCCGTTAGGTTGGATTTGTTGTAGTTTTTTGGTAGTATGCAACTGTTTGCCGTCCGAACAGTTCTCATCAAGGCTAGTATTTGTTAGCGAAGAATCGATCCGCAGTTGAAAGACGTGATTTGCATCATTAATATTAATATTTATGGTCTGCACATTTTTATCGTTAGATATAGTGTTGGGTAGTGTAACTTTCTCAATATGCGATTTGTTAGTGGGCTCACCAAGCTTTTTACTTGATTTCATTAGTATGTCATAGACTTCGGGTAAGTTCGTTGAGTTAAAAACTGGAACTTCGATTGTTTCACTGGGTTTTCCGAAAGTTACAGTACCAACGGCTGTTAAAAACAAAAGTCACTAGTTTACTATTAATAATGGGTTTTAATGTTTGGAACAAAAATATAAGTAAACTGAAATGACAAAATTATTTTAAAAGACAAATACTATTTTACATTAGACTATAAATTGTTAATAATTTATACATTTAACAGTGTACTGTAAAAGATGACCTCGAATAATTTGGAAAGTAGACAACAGATGATCAGGTTAATTTTCAACGTAATCTAAACCAGGTAATCAAATATTACAGAGAATAGTTTAATACAATATAAGATTGCACCAATATCAGCAACAATTATAATTAGATTTTTAATCACAGTTGATTAAAATAAAACAGCCTGGTGTGTTAAACAATAAGCAGTGAAAAAGTTACACAAACGGCAGAACTAATGTTTTATGGATATTGATAAACTACATCAATTCACATAAAGCTTAAGTCCGAGGTTGGAATTAACCAACTTGCCACTGTATTCTGATTATCAGAGGTTTATTAACCGACTTTTATCCGGTAATTAAAATCATCTTAGGAATAGGAAAACGGTATCAAGCACTTGAATATCTATTTACTGGAGGACATGACCATAAAGACTAGGCCTATTTTATGTAAACAGTAAGTCGAATTGTATTAAGTATGATGGAATACACAAAGAATATTAGAGAATTCTTTTACTTTTACTATAGTGGTTATAGAGCTCATTATTTTATTGTGAATTTAGGCTAGGCTTAAAACAAAAATCCGGACAAAAAATTTAGGTAGCACATACAATTGTCAGTACATTTTAAGCCAAATGTATTATGATATGCTGACATAATTTTTGATCACTCGTCAATAAACAATGATTAAAAGATTTTTCTTTCCTCCAAGAATACCTTAAATAACCGGCAAAAACCCCTCTACCACATGTTCTGAGTCAGTTGATATTACTGTGAATCCAAATTAGTTGAATTTTTCAGATCGAAGTATAGGCAGACGAATTTGCAAACTGTGTTCGTCAAAACGTTTCTAGCACTACCCAAGGTTAACTACACGAAAAAAACTATCCTACGTCTCCTTAAATAAGGGAAACGAATTTTTCAAATAACTCATTTAATCCAGTACACAGGAAAAGATTCGCACCCCAAACAGCTCAAATGAAATCAAGTAATGGGTTTCAGTTTTATAGAATCAAGTACTTTTATCATTAAGATACTCCTTAACATGCGATTCAATACCATAATATCCTCACTACTGTGCAAGTGTGAATACATCTGACAACTTACTTTAGTGCTCAGAATGATATTCATTATCCCTAAGGTAAATATATATGATTAGTATAACTTACAGTTATTGGTCCTTCTACAGTATCGTGGACACAAGCGAATGGAACTAGTTCGAATATCCGAAGAGGTAAAATTCATATGTTTGGTAAAAGTATAAGAACAACATCTGCGAAAAGACAGTAAACTAGGAAACGTTTGTGAATGTGGAAGGTAGCTAGAACCACCAAAAACATAAGATGAATGATTGAATGCACGCCTTTTAAGATGGTTACAAGTAGAAAAATATGGACAGGGTAATCTCTTATGAATGATACGGAATTTGTCAAAACAAAGCACACTGTATAACTGTGTATTGTTCCGCGACCATGCTATGAAATTCTTAGTAGACATGTGGCCACATTTATTTGGTCGACATCTTAGTGAAGTTCGGCAGGTATGATATTTTAACAACTGTGTGTCTGAAAATCAAAGTAAACACTAGACGTTAGTTTTGTTGCAAAAATGAGCAACTGAATATGAAGCAACTTAAAAATACAAGTATACTACAAGACGAAAACGTTGAATTAAATTGACACGAAAATACTGGCGGACTAGACTAGTAACTTGAACATCGAGAATCCCTACAAATCCTGCTACACGGGATGGGTACATCTTCATATTATAATCTTCCTAGGGCTTACCAAAGTTAACGGAGTGTAGAATGTCAATGATTGAGATTCAACAGATTGATTACGTAGTAGGCATCAATGCAAAGATTGAACTCGAAAGTATCAAATAAATTGAGCATTGGACAGAATGTTAATAATCATAAAATAATTATATTTTTGCGGTGTTCATATGAGTAGACATTAGGATTTCTAACGTCTCGTGACTTGATCTAATTCGCTTCTTCAGAGTAAATTAATAACCAAATTATTAAGTTGTTTACTCTGGAGAAGTGATCTATATCAAGTCATGAAACGTCAGAAATCCAAATATCTACTCATTTTGGATATCACGAATATATGATTATATTATTATTATTAATTGCCTAATACCCTTTACACATGCTACATTTACCCATTATGAAGACCATTAAACCAACATCTTAATTTTAGATGATAAATTTAATTTACCATGATTCCTTGTAAAATCTAGTCGATTCTTAGAAAGAATCTGATCACGTTACGTGGGCTTGTTGTTTTGTAGAGTAAGAGAACACAGATTTCACATTTCTTAGGCGAGTTGGTGTTAACAAGAAAAGATCACAAAATGTTAAAGGTGAAATTTCTAGTGAAAAAAAGAACAACTTTTAGATGTTCCACAATTTTAGGTATAAATATTGGCAAACTATCTATCTCACAGAACATCTTTCCAAAACCGAGCTTCTTCTTTAAGGTTGCCTAGATAGCTCCAACAGCTTTGACAGTTGCTCGGTGTAGTTGACATAGAATTATGACCACCAAGTTCCAAGGTTCTTGGATAAGTACTTTGAGATTCTCCATACCTTTAAAATTGAACTTCCCTTGCATCGACATGCCCTGGTACGGTCGAGGGTAGGGAGAGTCCGCTCTCCTCGAAATGCTCTCACATGGCCGCTGCCAGGGAAGTCCTACTCACTACCTTCTTGTGGCGGGGGTGTTGTTTACGAACTTGAGAGGACGAAAAGCGCCATAACTTGGTTGGTGGATATGGAGGATCCACTTAGGAGAGTTGAAAAACCCTGATTCCAAACCGATGGTGCATATGGGCTGCAGGATCCTGAGGGAACAAATGGCATATGAACCAATCGTTGGTCACCAGATACCATAGGGTTGCATCTCCTTACGTTGCTCTACTGCCTTGTGGGTCAGACCTATAGGTCGGAGGCTCGAGTTGCAGCCCCCCTACGAAGACCACTTGCCTCGGTCTGGGCACCCGGGCAGTATCACAACCCACACATAAGTCAAGTGACTTGTGTGGGGTATATGTATTTGGTGCCCCTTTGTACCAACATTTGTGTTCAAATACTAATAATAGTACATCGGCATAAGCAGCTTCGCAGAACGACAGGCACTTGTTTATAACAAGTAGGCATAAACAACATATGGGATGGGACAAAAGTATGCCGTGTCACGTAACAATATTTCAAAGAAGCACTGCGAGAGGAATAATAGAATGAGGATAACAATACTATTAATAGTAAAAAATTAAACATAAAAGGTTTAATACGAATGGATCTGACCGGAGAATGAAAACTCGAGGACAATATTACATTAAATATTTGCAGGATGGTAAGCAAATAACACACGTGAGTCGTATTGATAGAACACGCACCATACCAAGTAAAATTTCCAAACATATATTACGCACACTACAAGGACAGGAGATAAAATTTAGTTTCACGTGTTTACGAAAAAGGTTTTCTTTGAAGTTACAAGAATGAACACTAATTAGCTATCAAACGCCATGGTGTATGTTCGCTCACATCGATCCATGTGGACGAACGTTCTGCTGGGAAAATGTTAAAATTTCAGGTATGGGGATACAAAACACAATTAAACCATTCAGTTCAGAGAACGAAACTCCACAAACGTCATCCACACGAGCGACAAACCTCCGTTATCTTTTTCAGATGTACAGCAACACATACACCATAATATTTTGAAGTCTTGGATAGACAGTCCTGAACTAGCTAGATTTAACAACTACAATCCTTAGCACGATACTGAAATGCAATATGGTTCTGGTCCACAACAGAGTGTTAAAACTCCAAACAAGTAACCTAAAAGTAATTGATTGAGACAAGTGTTTTACTATGTTCATATTCATATTGTAGATCAAACCAATCTACGGATTTATCAAGGGAAACTCAGAACTGACAAACCACGTACCTCAACTAAAATTGGGAGGCTAGAATATATATAGCTTCTTCCATATAAATACAGACTCAGATCAATAAATTCTGAAAGACTTATCTATAGAAATGAATACATATTTAACTCTTGCAAATCTAAAGTTTGTCACAACTAATTAAGTAAATATTTGGTTAGCTGCTGTGTGAAATGAGTCAATATTTTAAGACAACGATACAGCAAATTCACCTACTTTTCTTAATAAACAATCCCATAGAATCAGGATGTATAGCATTAATGTTTCCAGTATTTAAAGAAGAGGCTTTAACTGTAGATATGGTATTCTTGCTATTTCCTGGCATGAGTCCGTCACTAGGTTTTGGAAAACCTGGATATTTACTTCCTTGTGAAGGTATTGGTAAAAAGTTAGGTCTTTTGATTGGACAATCTGAGATAGCCGATGAAGAATAAGCGCTCGCACTGCAAACAGCTTTCTGTAAAGAATCATGAACAGATAAAACAGTTGGTCGTTTTGCATATGTTTTATGGTTTCTGTCACGATTTCCAAGAGCTAAAGGTGAAAAATCTAAAGTATTTGGTCTGCGACTTTTTAGAGTTTTGATGCACTGACTAATACTTTCTTGGTCCGATTTTTGACGCACAGGCAGGTTTGGATATCCAAATTCTTCAGACGGGGTAGTACTTTTACTCATGTTGCATATGCAATATGACTGAACTTTGGTAGCTCGCGTTATTAATTTATATCATGTTAGTGAAATAAGATCTTTAGCAAGAGCATTGTAGTTGTTAGCTCACTAAAAACGAGATAAAGGTGAAAGAAAAAGTAGTGTGGTCACAGTATTTGCTGGATACGAGAAAAACATGGTATAAAAGGTGCTTAGTACTAAGTCACCTATTATCCTACTCAGTAAACAGAACACTAAAACTGAGTGGTAGTTCTGATGCATGAAAGCCCCACCTTACGTTCAATAACTCGCCAAGAAATCTGTTTTTTCCTCCAAATAAATTTCAAGAACTGAAGAAAGAATATCTAAAAAATCATCAGTAACACACACCACACCTGAAGTCCTCCACTTGCAATTCAAATGAGTCAGATTGATCACATCGTGATAAGCTACTGATGGCGTGGTTGCGTACGAGACTGCCATTCAGTCAGCTACAACGCAGGCACACATATGTATCGGTCCAAGTTACCATACCTCATTAACACAACAAGACGAACACCGGATTCATAGAAGCAGTTACTCCAACAGTAGAAATATATAAAGAAAGATTGTGTATATGTAATACAGGAAGAAAGAATTAGTTAGTAGAAAGTAAGATATGAAGCAGTTTTAATCTCACGGTTTAGAGGAAGACAAAGAGTGTGTACACCGACGCCATTGTGATCGATTCTGAGCCATGTCACCAAGAGTCTCAAACCATTGGTTACGATAGTCGAGCGGAACCCAACCAAGTAGTCTGCATCTACCAGTATGGCCCAGACCAGAAGTTAGTGACTTCAAGGACTGATGCCACGTTTTGGTTTGGCCGCCCCTAACTTTCTTCTAACCATCCCCAACACTGATCAACATTGCACACAGTGGTAATCGGTGTTCAGGAATACGTAAAACGTGACCCAACCATCTCAGTCGATGAAGATTTACAACCTCATTGACTGATTTACCATCATTCCCTAATACCCTGCGTCTAACCCCACTATTACTTATCTGACGATCTCAAAAGATGCGGGCAATATTTCTAAGACACTTGTGATCAAATACTAGTGGCTTACGAGTACCTTCTACTCTTAATGACCACATTTCGCAGCCGTTAAGTAAAACAGAACGAACTGCTGTGCAGTGTACTCGTCCATTAATTGATAGACGGATATCTCGCCTTTACCATAGGTGACGTAAGTTTGCAAAAGCCAAACCAGCTTTCTGAATCCATGTAGAGATTTCGTCAGACACCAATCCACTAGGGCTGATCAGACTTCCAAGATAAGTGAAGTTGTCGACGCCTACGACTACTTCACTTTCTATCCTAAGTTCAGGTATTGAATCAGGTCAGTCCTGGAGCATCAACTTGCATGAGTGACAGTCTTCTATCGAGCATCTCCAACGATGGCAATATGGCCTATTTGAGTCAATCGTTGGTTTGATACATGGGGTCGCCACCGTGATAGTCAGTGTCTCTCCTTATACTAAAAATTAGTGCTTGCTAAAAATAAACGATCGTCTGCAGCAGACGATCACCATTATCTGTTCGCTGGGCCAGAATACTAAAATACGCACCTAAATGTCTATCTGTTTTATTTAAGCTACATATCTAGGCATTAAAGCCACCTGCTACGAGTACTTTGTCTGAGCATTCAGCTTTATGAAGAAGTTCAGAAATCTTTATGTAAAAGTCATTTTTCACTTCATCCGGGCTACAGTCAGTGAGAGTGTAGGCGAAAGAGACAAAAAGGCAACGATGTGTGTCCCTCTCCTACCGAGTTGTTACGGAGCCGTTTAGTCGAATAGCACACAGACGACTACTAACAAGGATCCCTTTTAAGAGCTTGTTTTGCCCTTGTAAGTAGTGTTATGCATACACCCACCAGTCCACGAGAACTAACCAACAGGTCGCCAGATGAACAGAGAGTGCATCATGTCGGCTCTCCGTTTTGGCGAGGTGAGGTCAAATGAATCACCAAACTAGGGTCCTGTATGTGGGTTTCGGAGACAGCATACGTCAATGGTACGAGATTCTAAATTCTTAGACAAGGACGCCTGCCAGCCGGTTCGAAATGAAGTGCGTACATTGAAGGTTTCAATATGTAGCTTAAAGCGAGGTTCCAGTGGACCTAGGACAGTGTTTTGCGCACTAGAATCGTTGGCCATGGTGACACTTGGGGAGAAAGTCAAAAGAGGGAATTTGGATTTGAAAGTCGAAGTAGGAGGAATAACAGGAATTGAACAGAGATTGACCATGAATAAAGTGGTCTTGAGTGCTGTTAGATGTATGACGGCGGTTATTACTTCTCGGTTGTCCACAACATGGAAGGGTTCTTCTGGAGGTACCTGAAAAGGAAATTGGATTAAAAGGTGGTCTTAGTGACCTGAGAGCGTGACCGCAGTGCCCAAGGGACAACTGCTTGAGGTCGGTCACACACGACCTTGTTATGGGTAATTTTTTGTGTTAGCTCCGTACTTATTGAGACCTTACCACCATCTCAAAATCATACTAATCAACCCTCCGGTTGTTTTAATAAAGCAGATTTTACACCAACAGGAAAACCTACGAACATTCACCTTCCATTAGTCTGACGAACCAGCATATTCAGTGATCAGAATGAATGTAACCGTGAGCACACAAAACCACTGATACTTTGCGACCATAAAAATGTATTTTTTCTTAAAACTGAGAACATACTATTGGGAATGTAGTAATCTATGATAAGCATATGGCTTCATAAACTGAAGGCACAATGCTTCATTTTATGGTAAGTCGACTGAACAATTACTGTACGTAAACGAGACTCAAAAACTTGACTAAGCTAATAAAACCGAAGTTTTCGGCTCCAAAGTAGGAGAATTGTTAGATAGATCTAGATATTTACCATAACCATGGTTATAACAGAAGAATTTCATCGTCATTTCCAGGTCGTTTTTAGATAACCAGCAAGTACAGTGCAGTGATATCAACATAAAAATTAAAATCATTTATGAGTTCTTATTTATTATGACAAGCAATCTTACTTGTGTTGGTCATACATGTATAACTGCAGTTATCTACAGAGGGTCTGTTACTGACTTCAGCTAGACCGCACCTACTAAAATAGCTCAATCTTCTTTGCCCAATGGATATGACCAACTGCAAATACGCATCAACGATTCAGTAGTATTCTCTTTTGACGATGGTCACTGAGCGCCTGAAGGTCGAACTGTCGTAAAATTATTGGCGCGTCACCTCGACAATTCTCAAGGTTTTTCAATTCGATTTGAGTTCAGTCACACTGTCTGATAACGTCCATCCTTGAAGTAACGGAAGTGATACCATCGTAATGGTGCCTGATATAAATCTGATCTACAACGATATAATGTTATCGCGACGATTTACCAGTTGGGACAATTATGAGACCTGCCTAAAAGAAGTACATGAGGGTCAAATGTTCAGATGGTTGTGGATGGTAATGAAGTTTTCGCTTAACAGGCTTCTGTGTCTAGTTGCAGTGGATCACCAATATCTCCAGGCAGGAACCTAGGTATGTTAACAATAAAAGAGGAAAAGAAATTGGTAAATCATAGTGTGATACTATCCTTAGTCCTTAAGAATAGATCAAGTTGCCTCTTAAAGGACTCCTGGGAAGTCGCTTGGACTAGCTCGGCCGGCAGCGAATTCCAGCATTTGAAAACTCTTAAGGAGTAGAAGTTGTGTCTACAGTCCGTTCTGTTATGTTGTGTCTCCAGTTTTTGGGTGTTACCTCTAGGGTTAGTGTTGGAACTAAGCTTAAGTAGGTGTTTGAGAGGATGTCCAGAAGTGTTAAGAATACTATAAGCCATCAGAAGATCACCTCTAAGACGTCTATACTCTAATGGGTAAGGGTTAAGTGAATGGAGGCGCACTTCGCAAGGTTTAAATCTGAGTCCTCGAACTGATTTCGTGGCTCGCCGTTGGATACGCTCCAAAGTGACCTTGTCCTTTTGGAATGAGGGGGGAGTACAATGTTTCCGTACTCTAAATGGGGACGGATAGAACTATTGAAGATTATATGGAAAGTTCTTCTGTCAAACTGGCCAAAAATGCGCTTCAATGTTACCAATGCAAGGTTTTCTCGAAAGGCATTTTTGTCACAGTTAGCATAAGACTTTAAATCGTAGGGCACCAGGACTCCTAAATCTTTTCCTACTTGGGATACTACTAGAGAGGAGTTTCCTAAGTTATAACTGTAGTCTGCGACATGTCACAGATGGACTACTTTACACTTTGAAGTGCTAAAGGTAAGTCCGTTATCGTCTGCCCAACTTTGAAGTCGAGTCAGATCCTCCTGAAGTGTCTGTATATCGTCTTGGTTGCGTATCTCTCTCCAAAGTTTCACGTCGTCGGCAAAAAGTAATAATTCTGACGTTACCTGTTGTGGAAGATCGTTTATATAAGTCAAAAAGAGAAGAGGTCCTATTACCGAGCCCTGAGGGACCCCACTAGGACATTCCATAGCCTGAGAGGAAGTGAAATTAAGCCTGACCTTAAAATATCGATTTTTCAGGTATGAAGTGAGCCAATCGAATAAAGGTGGTTTGATACCTAGTCGTTTGAGCTTATTGATAAGACACAAGTGGTTAACCTTATCAAAAGCTTTTGAGAAATCTAGGTAAATGATATCAACCTTTCCTCTGCGATCGAGGATGCTTGTCCATCTGTTCACCGCAGTCAGCAGGTTGGTTATACAAGAGTAACCCTTCCTGAAACCATGCTGTTGGGATGAGAAGAAATTTAAGGACAGAAGATAGTCGTTTAAACCGTCGCATATCAGGGACTCCATGAATTTTGAAGGTAATGACAGAAGAGCCACCGGCCGATAACTTGAAGGTTCGCTGCGTCGACCTCCTTTGAAAATTGGTGTGATGTGAGCCAGCCTCCTATTTTCCGGTAGTTTTCCTTGGCTTAACGAGTGTGGGAACATCACACCAAGCGGCGTTGCCAAGATTGAGGCTGCTTTCCTCAGCATGGCGGAATGGACCACTTCCGGGCCAGGAGAAGTGTCTAGTCTTAAGTGCTGCAGTTACCGGAACACCAAGTCAGCGCTTAGGTTCACTTCGGAAAGTTTTGTGGAATGGCAAACGGAACTGTCATCAGTAAAGTTAGTGTCAGTCGGTTGAAATGTCTGGGAGTAATGTTCAGCCAGAAGGTTAGCGGCGTCGCCATCATTGTTGGTCGGGCCGTTAAGACCTACCAGTTGAAAACTCCTGTTTTGGCTTGACGAAGAGAGGCTGCATAACGGAATAAGCTTTTAGGATTGGAGGCGAATTTGTCCCTCAGCTTTGTCTTGTACTGAAGCCTATCTTCTTTTATAGCCTTCGTGCATATGTTCCTGATATGTTTATATTGCCTGTACACTCCGTCGTTGTCAGTTCGTTTGTATTCCGCTCAACAGTGCCTTTCGCGGCTTAGCAGGCGAAGGGTACGGTTCTTGATTATTGTAGGTGGCTTGCAGTTTTTGGGAAACGTTTGAGGAACTGATTGGTTTGTAGCACGTAAATGACTCCGACTAGACACCTCCAAGTACTGGACAATCTTACAGAGCACCATATGGATTCCTCAAGATTTTTAAACCCGAGGTTATAAACTTGGTGCACAACCAAGCAAGAACGTATGTAAACGGCTACTCCGTCCCCAATTCCTGACTTTCTGTCGTTGCGGAACAAAGACATCCCAGGTAATGCTAACTCATGGTCCGAGAACTGAGAAGATATTCAGGTTTCAGATATTCCTATCAAATGGGCCTTATTAGCGTTGGTAAGTTCACGTAATTCGTCCAATTTGTTTCGTAGACTCGCGGCGTTCATATATAAGCAGTTTATGCTTTCAATTTGGAACGCGTGAGCTTCGTCCTGTTTGTCTGTATGAGCCTTACGTGAATGGACAGGTTGCCCACCTATATGAGGTTTGCCGAGGTGGTAGGCCCTGTCCTTTACACGTTTTTTTATCATCTAGACACTCCAAAAGTGGAATGGTCAGCTCCAACTTGCCTTTGTGCTTGGTCCTAGCTTCGTATGGCCTATCCGGGTGCATGTGGATTCCAGGTGGCAATCGACGTCTGTTGGTACGAAAGGCTTCCAGAATTGCAACCGCCATGTGGGAAGATGGGAAGGTTATCTTCATTAGATGGGGTCTAAGATCACCGTCCTTCTTGGCTAGTCTCATCACATGCTGAGTCAGTTTGTATTTGAGCCTCAAGGACTGTTTGGTGAATTTCCATTCCCTGATGTCAGAATTTGATTGAGTAGGGTCTGCATTTTCCGATATACCTTGCACAATTATGTTTCTTCCGCGGAAAAACGTCTCGCGAGATGAGATTGCGCTCAGAATACGGTATGTCGGGCAACATTCTTACGTTACCATCGGATTACAGCAAGTGACTTGCTAGTAAGACATCCTCTAAGTCGGTAGCATTCTTAAGTGTTACTCGCAGAAGCCTCGGGTGATTTAGATGCTTAGAATCCTTTCCTCGAGTGAGCCGGGTGACCGTCAAAGGCCTTGTTCTAGGAAGTTCGAGCTTCTTGTTCAATTCACCCCTGTGCATCCTGTCATTTTTGTCCTGCAAACTGAGAGGAAGGTCAGGGTTGTCTTTGAAGTTCATGACTATGAAAGAGTCATCACGAACCGTTATTTCCGTCCCAGGTTTTCCGGTGCGTTCATGTTTAGCACCTTGTTGTTTGGCGGTCGAAGCACGTTTATGAATCCTTGGCTCTTTGATGACTGGACGCCTGTGCTCTAATGGGTAAAGATTTAGTGATTGGCTGCACTCTTCATAAGGCTTAAATTTGAGTCACCGAACTGATTTCGTGACTCGCATTTGGATGTGCTCCAGAGTGTCCTTGTCCTCTTGGAGTGAGAGAGGATATTTTTAATTCTTGCTAAATGAACACTATATTCAATTCCTAAGCTGTTCTCATAACTGACAAGCTGGTACTACGAAGCAACCTGAACACGAGAGAAAAGTAAGCAAATTATGCGGGAAGCGCTTTACTCCAAAGGTTCATTTTAGTACTAAAAATATAGGGTTTTTATAGTATTTTAGATGCTCTCGAGTTTCACGAAAATCCTGGAATGCTACTAAACATAGTAGCAGTATAGTAATCAGCCGATCAGAAACTCTACATGTGACTTTTCACTTTCTTGATGTTTCTGGCTAAACTTCTAGTGAACACTGATTGGATGAAATGCTTCTTAGTGTTTCCGGAGCCTTTCTTAGCTTTTGCAAGAAGTTTTCTGGATCGCTCCAACAGAAATACTATGTTTCCGTATTCTAAATGGGGAAGAATAAGACTGTTGACGGTTATGTGGAATGTTTTACCGTCAAACTGACCAAAAATTCACTTCAATATTACCAGTGCAAGTTTTGCTCGAAAGGCATTTTTGTTACAGTTAGCGTAAAACTTCCAATTGTACTAGGGCTTCTGTGACTGAAAATTCTTTGTACACTATACTGACATTCTATATATCATACAGGTATGTAAAGACGTAAACTCAAGGCGTCGGAATCAGACGCTTATATTCAGGATGTAGATGATGATAGTGATCAATATTCCTTCGAAGAACGTTCATCTTATAACTCACCACCACAACTGAACGACGGACGCGACGTCATTCATCTACGTATACTTCATTCCAGGTGAATGTTTACATCATGTCTAAATATTGCGACTACCAATCTGAATTCCCGGTCCGAACAGGAAGTGGCGAGCTTGTAGCTAGAAATAAATCAAAAGATGAATAGTTCTGCCACTCTCCGACATTTAATTGTGACCTCATCAGTTTTAAAAGACACTTCTTGCTAAAAGTTCTCGGTCACGCATCCGCACAAGATAACGAATGTGCATGCCGTGCTACACATCTCCGACAACCGTTATCCAGCTTAGACTAAGGGCTTCCCAGAATATGAATAGTCCTTCAAACCCTCAAACCTCTTCATTTCTGACTTTCAATTTGACTGCGTTGGCATACTTCGATTATAAAGATGTAACATATCCGTTCATTCTTTGAAGTATCAGACGATACATGTACACAAGTTGTGAGTTCTGTCAGTGGTAATAAAGAATCCCCACCGTCAGAATCCATTGTTCTCACTGGCCGTAGCCGTGCTTCTTGATAACAAGACGTTAAATATTGTAATTTTTAAGCTATACATAAATTCATTTAGATGGCCATCAGATTGTTCTTACAGCAGTCTTTTGTTACTGTGTGGTTGT